AGGCTTCTGTTCGCACATCCGCCAAAAGGACAAACACTGATACCTACCGAGACGTCTTTGATACGTAAGTAGCACAATTACTGATTTCCATTGTGGGATTCCTGTTGCAATCATACTTTTGACTTACCCTATGTCGGACCAAAAGGTTAAATGCGACACAGACTTTACTTTTTAAAAGTTACACTTCAGCCGATATGACTCGTCATCACCAGATGGAGGTTCATATTTCCTTTCCTGTGACATCATATTAATCCCACGAGACGAGAGGGGGGAATTAGTGGGCCAGCCGTCATCCTCAGATTAATGTGACGACAGGTCACGGCCAATCTGCTGTCGTACTTCTGCTCCGTGAGGAATGCGGCAAACTGAATTAAAGCCCAAAACAAGTGCGGCGCGGTTAATGTTTTCCCCGCAGGTCCTTCTGCTCCTTCCACCTCTCAACTCCGACAAGCTGCTCTTCTCCGTTGTTTTGGGGGGGGTTTTGTCAGCGGGATCGGATGGCGGGAGCGTCGGGGGATCCGTCGACACAAGATTAATTCTTTTAAGTTGCGAGGCATGTGATGAGACGTGCTCAGTGAGCACAGAAGAAAAGTTGTTAGGATGACGGATCCTTCCATATTATCTTATTACTATCCATCTCCGTTTGAATTGTCCCTTTCCATGCGTCCCTTTCTCTTTCATTTGATTAATTGATTCCCCACGTGCTGATCCAAATGAATCGCCCTTATGAGGCAACATCCTTTCATGCCTCTTGATCCGATCGCCAGTTTGCAATAGATTGCTATTGCATGTAATATATAATATTCCTGCTTTGGTTTACATTTCTATATCTGACCGTTACTGACATCCCTGCACTTGGCAGCTCACCCACTTTTATGTTGTGTTGAAGCGAGTTTGCCACTTTCTCGCTGGTCTTGAACAAGACCCGACCTCTCACCCTCTTTGCGAACACGCAGCTTAGCGTCTCCGGACGGGCCGAGGATCAGAAGACGGCAGCGTGTCCATGCCGGGTGGCACCTCGGTAGAGTTTGATCTAATGAGGAAGCGGTCGGAAGCCGGCCTGCTCTTCTCGCCGTCTATGGTCATGCAACCAATGCTGCTTAACGCGGAAATATACATTGTTCGAATGCTGATTCTTGTTTTGCGCAAAAAGTGGTTGCCAGCAGCGAGGCCATCTCGGAAACCAACTTATGTTTTTACATATACTTTTTAAAAGAGAGCCTTTCCTTTACATGTGAGCACCATTTGCTCACATGTATCATATACCTGTGATATATATATATCAAATTATCATATATTAATACCTGTGATAATTACACAAAAGCTCTTTATAATTGGACCAGACAGCATTGAGTACAGAGTGTAGTGGTGTGGTCTTCCAACTGACGACGTTGATCATTTCTCTGTAAGTCATTAATTCTATCATTTATTTTCTGGGTTTGATGAAAGAGAAAAAACTACTTGATTATATTGAAATCAATCAAGTGAGCAAGTATGCACATTTTCTATTAGTTAAGAAGAGCGTTGGGGTGACCTGGTCACGCAGACGTGTGCCGGCGTCACCTCATAGGCTTTGATTCGCCACTAAAAAGGTAAGACGCAGATAGAACGCCGACGTGCGTTTCGCCCTCCGAAGTGACCAAATATAAATGCGCCTTGGCTGATCGTGCTGCAGGATTCACACTCTTGAGGAAAGTTAGTAGGAGGAGATTTGTACACGTTGTATAAAAGTCGGTTTGAATCTGGCTGGAATTGCAGAATGTTCCTTATTTTGGCCTCTGATATTTGGCTGGTAATCTCGTCAGAGAGACTTTGGATGAGTGAGCAGCTACAATTTAAGTGTCTTTGTCGAGCGTATACATCAACAGCATAGTCGTCATACGGTGACGACTAACTGTGTGTTGCGGTTAAGAAAATTATGACCCATATGGGTCATAACTTTCTTTTTTAGTTAGTTTTATAAAACATGCATGGTTTCGAAAACAGTCAATAAAACGCCTCCCACTGGCCAGACCGAACTTTCTTATTTTACAGCTCTACAGTGCATTTGAGGGGAGAAATAGGCACTGCAGTGACAGAAGCTGAATTCATAATGCATCAGTTCGACAGTTTCAACAGAATTCTTGAGCTCCACGAGCAGCGTTGACGGCTCCATTGCAGACTCCTCGGCTCCTGTTGACTGTCGCTCCTTAGCGGAGGGGAATCTCGCAAATGTCCATTTAACCACTTAAAGTTGGCAGAGAATGTGTCTACTTCAGTTCACAACCAAATAACTGCGGGGCCGAAGGCGTCAATGCTAACGTTAGGCATCCTAACGTTAGCATTTAGCTCAAAGCACTGATTTTCCTTGGGTTGGTTTTATTTTAATTCAATGGATGGATGTAAACTCACCCCAAGTTGTGTCACTACAAATAGAAAGCAAAGTTAGTGTACCAATGTAACATTGTGCCGAGAGGGAGGGAACTCTGAATGGAATCCTGTTTTAACTAATTGCAGGATTATGTCCTCCTAAGCCTGCTGTGCCTGTATTTTTATGCAGTCTGTAGGATATTAGAAATAAATTGACGACCCGGTTCATAAAATGAATAAAGATGCATATAGTGTACACCAGAATACAGCCATGATTCTGAAACTGTAATAATTAAAGTAATGACAATATTGTAAAACCACCGCAATTCTGCAACTGTAATAGAATAATACCAATGTACAGTTATGATTGTATTTAATATGATTGTATTTAATGTCATGTAATCAACTGGAATGCATGTATGTGATACTTGCACTACAACTGATATTGACTAAGGGTCATTCGAAATCCGAGTCACATTGAACTCACCAGAAGACCACTCCCAGAGGTGTGGACACTAACTTTCACACCTTTAAGCAGTGTTATAAATACCTGTAGGAACCATTGTTCTGGAGTTGGCTGGTGGAGACAACGGGCACTAGGGATGGTCAAAGGACTGACCTGGGGCCTGTTGGTTGCTGAGACCAGCGGCTCCTCAGCTGAGATGTTCTTTTTACCACAACACCATCTTTCATTAAATACATTTGATTTTAACCTTTTGATCTGTGATGACCTCTGTCCGTCGTTTCTTCATTTTTTAATACAACAAGTCACAGCCATGGTATCTCCTTTGTTTTGTTGTTATTAAGAGTTATCACATGTGTGAATGTCAACATTATCTTGAGAAAATGTGGGGGAGGGCCGAGGAAAATACACGACACCCGGTGACCGAAGCTTCTTTTCTTTTTTGCACATCACAATCAAAGCTCGTTAATCGGTGTGTAGACTTTTCACTCATGAATAAACCCGCTGATTTGCAAGGTGCCAAAGTTAATCTACTTTGCATAAATAAATTGGTAAGCAGCATCTGCTGCATCTAAAAGCTTGAAATGGAAGTCACGAAATTCAGAAAATTATGTAATTGTTCAGACAGTACTGACACACCAGAACATGTGGATGAAATTATTAAAAATGCGCCCTTTGTTTAGGCAAATAAGAGGGCGATGTGAAGTGATAGTTGGAAGGTATCCGTGGTTGCTATGGGAAGCAGGGGTGGTTTAGCCAATACAAATGAATTCAGTGCTATATGGAAATAAACTAGAGGAAAGAAACTGTAGGGTGAGAGTTCACGGTCGCACCAGTGCGACGTCCCTGGAGCCGTGTGGGATTCAAGGACGTGCCGAAGCAACATCAAAGGATCACAGTAACATCTATGATACAAGCTTCGAATTGTGTTAAAATGATCGGTAAGGACCACTACCAAATTCAGAAGTACTTTTGGAGGGAGCGTAAAAATAGAATTGTCTGGACTTGCCGTCCCCTGTAATGTGAGGGCCCAAATGCAGATACTGTAGACTCAGAAAACAGCAACAGCCAAGGATGATCGTGACAAGAATTGGAGATATTCCTGTTCCCCAGAGGATGCATCCTAATCATGTTGGCAATCCCTTTTGTTTTGGCGCTACATTTCAGCTCAAACTGACCTTGTGTTCCCTTAATGCATGATCCGAACTTTGCCCCATTGAATATTTCCTGCCAAAGACTTAAAACTTCACACCACGCATATGGCAATATGCGAGTCAGCTCACCTTAATGTTGCCATACCCATGGGTATGGACATCCCCCCCCATTCCTATCTAGCTGTTTGGCAGAAAAAGGAGGGGAAAAAAAGCCATCGGCCATTTGTGAAGCTGGTGCCTTTGCGTGCGTCAAACGTGTGCATGTGGACGTTTGCCAGGAGAAAAGCTGGTGTCTGTCCGTTGTGCCTGTGTGTCTGCCAAGTGACTCATCGCTTCTTGTAACCGCGGTGACTCAGATTGGCTCGGAGTGGTCCAGGGTTCGGGGGGGGGGGGGAGACGGGAAAAAGAGCAAATGAACGAGCCGATATTACCGACAACTTGCAACGGCTGTAAACATAGTTGAATGCACACACACACACACGCGCCAACACTCACCCAAAGGTGTTTACTCACACATGGGTGCACTAAACTGGGGAGAGATGCTAAATGATTCAGGGATGCTGCACAGGGACCCTGGAACATGCCAGTTTATACCATTGTTTTTGGTTTTAAGGCCCCGTGAGCTGTTTTCACATGGGCAAGACGTCTTTAGCAGCGGCTACATCTACACCTTTTCACGTCTCATGATACCAATAAGCAATTTCCTCCTTTGGTAGGACCGCGGTGCATTAATCCAGTGCAGGTGCACTCATGATCAACTGACTGGGGATTATGTGAGAGGGGGGACCAATCAGGCAAAGAAAGGTCATTACACTGCAGGGAACGAGGCCCCCGCCGCTCTACGTGAGCTTTTCCGGACTGTGGAGTTTTGTTCTGGAGCGAGCGGCGGCCCCGCAGGCTGCATTTAGTGAGTTGTTGTGAGCCTGCAGAGCCCGAGAATCCTCCCCGAGACCCGCAGCACAACGGTAAGTCGCCTAGCACCTATTATTTCTTAGTCTTTCGCGAAAACTTTCCTAAATTGGACGGCTACGGTCAATAGGGTTAGCAATGTTTTCATCTATGGGCTTTGAAATAATATGCCGAGATTGATTCAGTAATTATATATTTTATTGTCATTACGCATAATGTGTACGATAGGGTCACTGGCTGTAATGAGAAATATCAGGTAGATTGGTAGTTTATTGCATTTGTCTGAGATTAAGTGTTTCTTAGTTACAAAAAAGCCCCCAACATTATTTACTATCATAAAAAAGATTCCAAGGATGATTTGAAAATGTTTTGGTTTTTCAAATCAAAGTCCGTATTTTGTATTCATCATTTAAGATCTTGATGAGTGGAAAGATGAGAGATGAGGCTGGTAAAGACAATCAATATAAGCCTCTGAAAGTCAGTAAGATATGAAATTAAATATACACAAGGGACAATGTGCATTTTATAAGCTTTCAGGCAACAGACTTCATCAGACCCCCCCCTCACAAGAACAGCACAGTAATTAATTCTGTTTAGTACGAATCCAATGCACTTAAACTTCCAGCACAAATAACCAGAGGCTGCAGATTAGAGGTTCATTTATCGATAAAGCAATCCATCTAAACTCCTCCCCCTTACCCCAAATGTAGGGCGAAATGGCGCTCAGGTAACCAAAAATTAATTACACACCACACTTCATTTTACGTAAATTAAGTAATTGTATCTAGTCATAAACTCTCATAAAGCGCCTCAGGATATTAATTGTGATTGTATGCTTTGCTTTTTGGGTGGGGGGGGATAATTATATTGATCAGGTCAAGGTGTCATGAAAGGAAATGGGCAGTTTGTACGATGTTTGGGTGAAAATAAAACGAGAGAGAAAAAAAATGCTGATTTAACTTTTATGTGATTAACTTTTATTCGCGGTTAAATCAGTGCGATTAAAAAAACAAACATTCGGTAACGTCGCAAACCGTTACGCTCCGCTTTCGGTAACCACGGCAGCGTCATTTTACGGTACCACGCTGCTGACTCTGCGCTCCGGTCCGGTTCGGATAAGGCACCGGGTCAGCACCAATCGGTCCACTACAGAGGAAGCAGCCTGGGAGACAGATGTGATGGTGAGCACCAGAGCTCCTCCGTCAATCCTCACTGACAGAGACAGAGCCGGACCAGAACTGCGCGGTTAGCCTTCAGCGTAAAAGACCCCAAATTCCCGGGAAACGCGAGGTGAGTCACATAGTAAAGAGTAAAGAGTAAAATAACTGGGTTCAAAATAATGAAAACACGTGAAGCATGTGCGTGCTGCTGGAGTACGGGGCGCACGGGCGTAGCGATCTCTGCGCCCAAGACGCAGGGCTTTTATTTTGAAAACTGCCATCCGGCGTTCGCGCTCTGGCGTCGCCGCGCTTCACGCACCCTCCGCCTCTCTGCCAGAGCTCGGTCGGCTCGCGGAGACAGCAGGATGCCAAGGGGAGCCCTCCGACCCACGGCGTCCGTCTCACCGTCCCCCGGCGTCGCCTCCCGGCCGCAGAGACTCTGATGGGCGTTTTTATCCTCCTTTCACCCTCCTCCGCGCCCGGATACTTTGGGAAGCCTCGAAATGAAGCGAATGAATGTGAGCAACCAGAAGTGTCCTGTGTCTTGTGCCCGTCTCCAGCATCACTATTACTCAAGTCCTCTCTCTCTCTCTCTCTCTCTCTCTCTCCTCCGTGGATGCGATGCCTCCGTGATTTGATAGTTGCCTGATTTCAGAGGATTTCCTGTTGTGTTCAGTAGTGGACGACCCAGCTCCCCCCCATCACCTACTTCGCTTTTTGTTGTCTTTTGTTGTTGTTGTTGGAGGTTTTCCGTCTTTCAGGATAGACCAACTACGGGGAAACCAGCGACTTGACGTCTCCTCCTCCTGGCGGAATAACCGAATCTTTGCGGTTATTCGGGCATCTTTTTTTTCTCTTCCTGGGGTGGGAATACGACCGATGCTTGCCTTGCCCGTGTGTTCCAGTTGTGCTTCGTCTCGTGCATTGTTGGTATTTGTTTGTCCCACAGTGGCTTGAACATTCACGAATGCATCCAAGGACATACGAATTACGCATGCACCATGACGGTAGTAGGCTGTGCGTAATATCCTATTATTATATTCCTGTCACACGAACGCGGCGAGAGTCACAGTCAACGTCATGTCTGTGTTTTACAGAAGATTTGACATATTCATACAAACTTATTTGCGAGCGTGTGTGTGTGTGTGTGTCACGGGCGTTAATAGTATGGCATGGTCCTGTAACCTTTGAGCCAGCAGTAAAATATCCCCATAATTAAGTTCATGGGAGTAAATGTGCCCAAAGTATGCAAGCCCGTGCGTCTGCCATAATGTGTGTGTGTGTGTGTGTGTGTGAAAGGACCATGCGCGTAAGCGCATACACGTCTGGCCATGTGCGCCCCCTGCCGCGCTAACGTTGAACCCTTCTGTGCGTGCGTGTGTGTGTGTGTCTATGTGTGTGTGTGTGTGTATGTGTGTGTGTGTGTGTGTGTGTGTGTGTGTGTGTGTGTGTGTGCAGCCACGCTGGAAGTCGCCCCCCATGTGGCCGTCGGGAGTGGGGAGCAGGCAGCCCTGCCCGCGGGAGTCGGCGCTGCGCAAGGCGGCCATCAGCGGCAACATCAACGCCCTGCCGCACCACGTCCCCACCGGCCGCAGCGTCCGGGTCTTCATCTGCGCCAACCCGGACGGTAAGGCAGTGTTTTACCCTCCCTCCCCCTCCGAAAACGCCTCCCCCCCCCTCACCCCTCCTTGCTAAACGCACCAATCTGCAGACCTTCACATTCCACAAGACTCGGATGGTTTGTTCTGAAAAAATGAGCATATTAGTTGTATTCTTGTATTCGTATTTGTGGAAATTAATATTGTTGGATCATAACAGTCTTACACGTTTTTGGCAGATATGGAGAAACACTCCTAAAACAAATATAATATAATATAATATAAGCAGCTATAACTTATTAGGGCTTTTTAAAATAAGGTGTAGTGTTTACTAAAATGAAAAAATGAACTCGTCATTTCTTCCATCACGCCAACGGATCGCTGTCGACTTAGAGTGTGCGGTTGGGAGCAGAGTGCAAGGCAGCTGGGGGGGTGAGACAGACACCCGGTCGCAGCTCTGTATTTGAATATACCCTCTGGGCGAGGGGGTAAAAATAGGCTCAGTAAAACTGGAGTAAACAAGTCAGGGGAAGTGGAGTAGGCTATGAGAGGAGACGGTATAGGGCAAAGGAGGGCACAGGCAGTATTACAAAGGAGGGAGAGGGGGGAGGGGGGGGGGGGGGCGTTGATTTGGTCGATTGTCCTCACTGAACGAGAAGGAATTGACCTCAGATTATCCCCCCGCAGCAGATGTTTATCCACCTGTAGCTGAGTCGGTCATACGGGGAAAAAAAACAACCCCCCCGCCACAACACAAACGCAACGCCTCATTCCACACGTGGAGGGAAAAGAGGAGGAGGGGGCTATTCCGGGTCCTTTTCACGCCGCCGGTGCAAACGGAAAGACACACACGTCTCAGCCCGAGCCGCGAAAAAGAGCCGTTTCTGAGCTGCTGGTTCCAGTGAAGCGAGGTGTTGGTATCCAGTGTCATATTTTTCGTAATGAAGCCGTACACACACACACACACACACACACACACACACACACAGACACACACACAGTGTGGCCCTGAAATACGGATGAATCCCCCCCGCTTCAAATCACAGGGTATTCTTGGCATTTTCTTTTCTCTTCTTCTCTGTTGCACCAAACGATTCTGTGGTGGTGCACGGTGTGCGAGTGACCCGATGTCTGCACCTTTTCTTTTTTAAAATTTTTTTTGTACATGTTCACTAGAGGGGGCTGTCCATGGGCTTATAGCCTTCCCCTTCCTGCACACGTATGAAGCGATCAGATCAGACAAGCAATAGATAACACGGCTCAGCGACGAGGCGAGGGTTTGCCAAAATGTAAGCTAAACAAGGAGTCGGAGTGGCTTTACGTCGTCCTTGCATGATGTTAATGAAACGCTCAAGTTCTTGGCTCAGGAATGTGTGTGTGTGTGTGTGTGTGTGTGTGTGTGTGTCTATCGATCAATTAAAAACCAGAATATCTGCTCTCGTTGGTAAGCAGGTGGCAGCAACGAACCAGAGAAGGTGACTTATTCAGTGTAGTTTGTGTGAGTCCACTGTGCACCATGACTCCTCTGTCAACATTGTGTGTGTGTGTGTGTGTGTGTGTGTGTCGACGCGTAGGGACACACACATACGAGCGTATCGGTGCGACTCCAGTACCTCGCTGTGAAGTCACCTCCGGGGCTTTGGCTTCTCCTACGCAAGCTGTCGGAAGTTGATAGAAGCGCGAGGACTTGGTCCGCGTGAAGCGGTCGGCGCGTCCGTCGTGCCGCCGCCAAAGGCTGGAGCTTGTCACCACGGATACCGCTGGCTACGCCACGGTTCGCCCGTACGATTAGTCCTGCGCTTTCTATTTACTAAATGTACTAAATCTTTTCTCAGTCTGTGTTGAAGGTTTTTTCGCTCAAACTTCTGTAATTCAATGGTTTCTCCTTAATCATCCTCTTTTCTTTATTGTAAGAGAACAGTGGGAGAGTGGGAGGGGTGTCGAGGGGGGCCTTTGGTTTGTTAAATTGCTTTTCAGGGGCCAGTGAGTTCCAGGTTTTTTGGGGAGAGCCCGGCCCCGTCCTGCGGCGTGCGTTTTTTTTTGACAATTTCAGCAGCTGCCCTCACACACTCGTCCAACCTCACCAACCCCCATTTCGTGGAGCATATCGAAAGAGGATATCTCACCAGGGGAGGATGGTAACGAGAGCCAGCAGCCCCCCCAGATACACCTGAATAAAGATTACGTCGCGCTTATGACCAACACAATGAGCCTCCAGGAAGCCGGTGCGGCGTGCTAGCGGTTTGTAACTAATGGGAATTTGATTGTATGTGCACATCGAGGGCAATTACTGGGGAGGGTTTGGAGGTTCAATGAGATTGGGAATGAAGCAAAATCTAACCAGTAACGTCCGTTGAATGCTTCTTTCAACGTCTTCCTCACGTTTGAAACTCACAATTCTTTGTTACTTTTAAAGAGTAAAAAGATGTAACAAATACAGATTTTTTTTCTGTTTTAATTGGCTGGTTACTCTTTTTTAATGTTGAAAAACAAATTTCCCCAAACTGTGAAGTAACAACTTTTGCATGAAAAATTACATTTTCTTTTTACAAAATTACATTAATATCGAACACATCTCTCACACTTTCATTCTCCCTGGAATACAGCACTAACTCTCCTCACTTCTTCCAGAGCCCGCCGCGTCATGTACAAAAAATGACTTCAAAAAGCAACACTGGGGATTAGAAAATGCAACGTGACCTTCCGTCTACGAGGTTCCTAGTGAGGCAGAATGAAATAGATGTGACAAACACACAAAAAAAGCTTAAACTCACAAGCTTCCCACCTGTTTCTAAACGCCTGCTTCCAGCCGTTTATATTTGCTCATGTTAATTCCTCCAAACAGAGCTGCTGTTATGTTGTTGATTGTCGTAAAGTAATATTGCACAGTTGCATGCTAATTGCTATTTTTAAAATATCCTACTTTACTTTTTTAATCAGCTTATAAACCAACAAAAGCCTGAAATGCGACAACGTCCGCCGCTGTCTCTTTCAAACTTCATTAAAACGCATTTTGCAGGATACAAACAGACCTGGCGACCCTGCATTGACCTCGTTGGTTACTGATTCATTTGAGATTGATGTAAAAAAAAAAAAAAACACTCATTGCCGAGACTACTTCATATTTGGTTATATGTCAAACGTGCCGTATTCCTTTTCATGTTGTCAGCAGCAACAGAAATGATTTCAACTGCAAAGTCTCACTGGAAACAACCTTTTGGGTGACGTTTAGAGAGAATGAACGAGACAACAGCCAATATCAGTCCATAATCCAGGCTGATCGGACCATCTGACCGGTCTTGAGATGATGTAAGCGAGCAAGAGATTTGAATCTCAACCCTACAAGATAACATGAGGTGTCCATGGTTACGGAGTCTCCTCGATCTTGAGAATCAGTCGTCTTGGCCTTTCTATAATTGGGCTGTAAAGCATGTTGTGTGTTCCCGGCTTGGATACTGTTCCCAAGGCAACGGCCGCTAGCACAGATGTTACCCAATGAATTTTTGTCATAGTGCATCTGTATGTTGTGTAGAATAGCACCGGTCCCTCGTATACCCGCTCAATGGTCACTCAGTCAGATACAAGTTAGTTCACCGGCAGCGAACCGGTGAAGTCCTCATCACCGTTGCATCCAGTCTCATATCACCATCCTTTACTGTAAATTAGTCGCCCCCCCCCCCGCCGGAAGCTTTACGCCAAGGGTGGATGTTGGCACAAAAACCTCTAGTGGATTTCCCTCACCTTGATCCGGTGGTTGATGCAACACGAGGGCCTCCCTGCGCTCGGGAAATGCAGAGCTGATTTACTCAGCGTCAGTTTGCCTCGAGCGTCCTCCAGGTCGCTCAGTATCGACTTCGGCGTTGGCAGAAACGTGGTTGGATGCGCCGTGCGACAGCGAACCACACAAACCTGACGTTTTTTGGAGCAACATCACTGCATAAAATTAAACATGCAGTGATGAGATGGTGCATTCGTTAAGACTATAGTGAGTGAGTGAGACTTTTTTCGATAACTTCAATATTTGTTCAGTCTATTCTAGTATAAACAGCAGAAGACGTGGGACAGACGTGAGTCTGATTGTCCGGTAAACGAATATGGTCGAATCGGCTGACCCCGACGATCTGAACCAACAACATCCCTGATGCATGAAAGTGTACAAATACCTTGCAAACGGATGTTGCAGATATCAGTAATGAATAACCAGTCTGGATGTTAAAAAGGTTTGCCTTAACTAAGGACATTGTGTCTATAATCGTATGCACCCTTGAAGCACCTCACACACACACACTGTAGCATCCGTGTCAATTTGAATGACCGCCTCTTTACGCCTCTGCTCTGGAGGGACGCGGTTTGTTGACTTCTCCCTCTCTTTTAATCAGAGATCTCTGCGCTGTTGTGCATACCGAGTGTTGCGTCTCGAGGAGCGCGCAGTGATTGCTTTGTCGGAGCCTCGTTGATGAGACGGTGGATGCTGACCGCTACCCGGAGGCCTGAAGGAGCGGCTGCAGCAACGGAAGCGTTTGGTTAAGCTTATTGGGATCGTTGCCAATAAGCAACGATCGTCTGTTAACAGTTGCCCTTGAATTGCGAACAATAGAAGGTAAGAAGCGACATAAAGCACCGACATTTCCCTTTATTCCTATAAAGGAAGCGTGAAAGACGGAACAAAGAGCCGACAGGACGAATGTGAAGGGAAAAAGACACAGTGGTGGGCACTATTGAAACAAACAGATTGGAAAATTGGGGGGAGGGACACACACAGCGAGGGAGACGGGCGAATCGCAGCGTCTTTGTTCCTCTGCATGTGGGTGTGCGCACAACAGACACACACAAACGCATGAAACGGGCTGCCATAACTCCTCACCATCCCACAAAAGAGACTCTGCCGCCAGACACTTGGCTCGGCAACGTGCCGATTTGCATCGCACCACCTTCCGGCCCTTCGGCAGGCAGGCGTCAATCAAAAAAAACGGAAAAAAACGTCGCCCCACGTGGCCGTGACACACAGTGACTGCGTACTGCGTACCATCAAGGGCCGCCCGAAGCTCCGATTTGACATTTGGACTCAGTTCGGCCGCAGGCGGGCGGACGTACGGGCGGTCGGGGGCCCAGAGCCCTGCTAAAGATAGACGAGAGACCGGCGACATCGGCAGACCGAATATGTGGGCTCTTCTGTGCGCGCCGCGCGTGACACGGTTTAGCGGCTGTGAGAGAGGCGTCCCCCCCCTACCCTCCCCCGCCGCCGCCGGGTGTGTGCGCAAGGCAGCTTTCTTGGTCACACAGAAGGCTCTCTTTGTCGGGCGTGTTTCCGTCCGTTACCCTGTCCAAATCCATCACGGCAACCGTTTGGAAGACAGTGGGGAAAAAGGACAGGACGGGCAGGAAAGAAAGTGGGACACAAAGGAGGAGCCGCGGGCGCTCGCTCCGCGACTGTCCGATGCGATCACGGCCTTCGCAGGCGCCGCGGAGTCCCGCGCTCTTCAGCGGCGCGCATCGGGACGGCCGCCGTCTGCAGGCCTCCCCGGTTTGGATGTGGGTGTGAAGAAAGGGGTTGCACGTTGACAACCGATTAAACCCCCGAAATGAAGCCGCCGATGAAACTGTTGTATCAGAGGTGAATAGTTGATGAGTTCATTTGTTTGATTGAAGTGGAATATTCACCCCTCGCACCAGCGGTCCGATTGATAAACACCCATCGTTGAGTAAATGTGGAAATTTGTTTTTGCTTTAAAACATGACGGTTCAAACCTGGTCTGAGGCTTCTGGATTCTTCTCAATGAAATTAAACAGGAACGCTTTTTTAATTCAGTACCTTTTAAGACAGCCAGAAAGGCTCCCTCTGCTAAGCTAAGCTAAGCTAATTTCCCCCTGTTGGTACCTGATTGTGAAACATGTCCTATTCCTTTGCTTTCCAGACACAGAGGCGGAGAGGAACGCACTGAAAGAGCACGTCTACCCCAAACTACGAGACTTCTGCAGGGAGAACTACGGGATCGAGTTCCAGGTAACCGAGATCTGTCCTTCAATTTGCTCTCTGGTTTGCCAATATTTACTGGCGGCGGCCGCAGGGCCCCCAAAGCAGCAGGGTCCGCCCCCTCAAGCGGCCAGAAGGCCAGCGAAGATAAGGCTCCCGCCGCCGGAGGCTGGCACGAAACTAGCCGGGGATACGGCGGCGGGAAGCCTCGTTGTCGTCCGTAAATCGCAACTTTCCCTCCCCGCGGTTTCCACTGATCGAGACCATTTGCATTGCAAATCAGCTCCACTGTACACAGAAAGATTGCAATCAGGGGATTGTTTTGTTTAACATTTGCATTGGGGAGCCCTGGAGTCAGGGAGAGGGCTTTTCGCCGTAGATTTTTCCCAGGGCAGGATTAGAGGTGATTTCCTTGCACTTAAAAGGGACTTCAGTGACCCCTGAATGGTTTCTCAAAGCCGCGGGCGAATTGTCATTTTATACTGAGAATGTTTGGATCGCAAATACCATTGGAACGAGGTGTTTGTAACAAGACTCCTCGGTCCTTCATAGAGCTCACGATGCAGTGGAAATGGGAATTAGCTGTTACATTACCGGTTGTACAGCAAAGAGCATTGTGCATTATGTCCATTTAATCCAGCTGGATTTTACCTGTTTTTTGTGTAAATCTATCGGTGGACGGAGGGTTCAATGGCGGCCTGATTGAAGGGTCGGCGGTTGTCATACGAACGCCATCCGACCAGTAGCTCCATCCACACACAAGTCAAAAGGCTCGCAGACGGGAAGACCCGACAGCCGCCGCCCGGGCGCTCAAATGTCTGCGTGTGACAGACGAGCGCGAGGCGAGAGGAGCCAGTGTCTGTGGCCACGTGTCCGTCTGGTTATTCGGCTCGCTGCGTTTATACTATGACTCACTTACACCCCCCCCTCCCCCCGTCCCCCCCACTCCTCCCACATGTTTCATCCCCACCCACGCGTAGTGAGAGTTGGCACCTTGTCTGAAACCACAGAATACTTCCAGCGCTTTGTTCATGTACATTGTCCTCTCGACCGAGATCGTTTTTTTTAATCTGCATTGATCATTTGCTTTGATTTGTGATTTATCTGCATCGTAGTACACACACACACACGCACACACATCAGCACTGACACGCCGATAAAAACCCTGATTCTCTTCGGTCCCTCAACACTCCACCCAGAAGGCTCCCTTAAGAGGATGGAGAGGGATCGCAGGAGACGGAGAGAAGGATGGAGGAAGGGAAGAGGGCGCAAATCCAGCCCAGGGGCCTCCGTCCTCATTCAGTCAGAGCACAGCAGGCGGGATGACACTTAATCCCGTTTTTTGTTTTTCGTATGCTGACTTTATTTTTGTTTCATTTAGAAGTCATTACACCAAACACACACAGGTAAAAATCGGTGTGAGACGAGGTTTCCGGCAAAAACAAATCCAAACCCGTCTCAAATATCAGGAACGTTTATCGCCAAAACATGTTGAGACATACAAGGAATCTGACATGGCGGTTGGTGCCTGGCATTGGACAGACAGACAATTAACATTTTCCGAGGTTACTGGAAGCAGCGGCGTGAACAACGTGGTCCGACTGTCTGTCCGTCAGACCGAGCAACTACAGTCAACGTTCCCGCCGTGCGGCTTTCTCCCCGACGTCTTTTTAGAACACGGAGCGGCGAGACGGGAGGCGAAATGAGGGCCGAGGTGACATTTCAAGAAGAGCTTTTTTTTTTTTAATGCTTGAACTTTTGGAAAGCGGGAATCCGTCCGTCAATTTGGACTCTTTCAAAAAAGACGCAATGCTCTCAGAATGTGTCACCCACTTAAAAATGTTGAAGCTTGGCGAGAAAAAAAATCTTGTAAATGTGCTTTTTGTCTCCGTTAGTAGAAACTGTTATCGTGTTTCCAGAGATATTTGTGAGATGAAATAACACGTGACATATTAAATACCGCTCCGTCGGTTTTCCCGCTTCCATTTTTGACCAACTCGTGTCTCTTTGTTGTTTTTTCAGTCGGTTCCGTCTTTGGCGGTCGGCCATCATCTCCATCCACTTTCCACCTCCGAGTCTGTTGTTCTCTCTGCTCGGTCCACAGAAACACATCAACATGCCGACGGCCTCCACGGCAAAGATAATCAAAAATCAAACATGAAGGGCCTCCGGGGCCTCGGCTGCATGCGCTCGTAAAGCCAACGGGAGAGATACTCACTCGCATTACTGTCACCATGATGCTTATATTCCCCCCCCCCCCCTCATCTATTGTCAGCTGGATAATTCAGAAAATATTTATGGCATTCGATGGGCCGATAAGCACGGAAAAAAATAAACATGAGATCATGACAAAGTGTTTTCATCTAAAACAAAATAGGTAGAAATGTAACAACATCACATTGTTCGTATATTGGGAGACGAGTCGTAGTAAAATGCAGAATAGTTGTCCTTCGTTTTCAAGTGGCTTCCGCCTACAATTCTTCACCCACAGCTCTCGCCCTCGAGACGCTTTAGTTCAGTTCAGCCTTCTTTTACCCGCAGGCCAGATTGACTAAGAGACACTTCGGCGCTCTCGACTCAACTGCAGTGGACTCATCGGCTGAAAAAAAGTCATTCCAACTAAAAGATGTAGTGGCAGGCAGCGGGATTAATGAAAGGAATGGACTGGTTCCCCATTGGAGTATATAAATATATATAACGCAAGGTATGGTTTGAAAACAAACACAGTCCCTGCAGTGATTTAAATCTGCATTGACACTTCCTATAAAAGTCTGGCGGGTATCCTGGCAACACGACCAAAGATCGATGGGAACACTTTACTTGACGTTTCCGATACCCGAGGGTCTCCGTCTTAACTGACGTTATTCGGTAACACGCCCTAAATCTGCAGCTGCTCCGTAGACAATGAATGGAACGGATACATTGGACCTCGAATATCACCTAAAGTCAGATCGCACACAAAGCGTCGACCCTCTGTGTTGCCAGAAGGGATGCACGCGTCCTCAGTTCCTCTTTGGCGTGGCGCTTGGTTCTGATATCAGGTGGGTAAGCGCCTGCCAACAGACGCCGGCGCCTGCCAGAGAGTGACGGCGCATATTCAGGGATACGCGCGTATTAAATGTCTGCTCACCCCCCTCCCCCGTCGGTAACCTCATCGCCGTCACGCCACATCTGACCCTCCCGCCTTTGACCGGCTCTTGACCTTAACGTGCCGCGGTTGAGCTGCGATGCCCGGAGCGGCGAGTCCGAGCTCCGCGGGATTTTTCTCAGAAGTAGCGTGCATGTGGAATCTCCTCTGGGCGCTCGGCGTCGGCGCCCTCGGCCAACCTCTCGTCCACTACTGAAAACAGCAAAGTCAAGCACAGCATTAAGAGATCCAACACTAAAGTATCGGATCGCTGCTTAAACTCCCTTCCTGTGTTCTGTCCCCGTCTGCTTTTATTTTTCAAACTCGGTGTACTTCACATCGCTGCAGAAATTGTATATTTGCCCACGGATTTGCTGCTAAACCCTGGAATTTGCTTGAGCTCTACAAAGCGGAATTCATCCAACATTCTTAGAGAGTTTCTACATGCTCTGGATGAAACAAAATGCCTGCAGTGGGAAGCTTAAGATATATTTATGTTGGCACCGCATCTATTTTTACTGGTGGGGGTTTGTTCACCCGAGTCCTTCTCTCTGCGGGGTTATTCCGTCCTCCCCCTCCTCCCCTCTGCGCCTCCGTTCATGCCCTTTCCTCCTCGGCATCTCGGGCATAATCCCAAAATCTAACATTCAATCAAAATATATATATATATATATATAGAATTCTCCGGCACTTGACCCGCCGATGCCTTCCAAGGGCGTCAGAAAGCTCCTTAGTAGAAGCTGCTTCGGCTCTTACGTAAGAGCTGCCATACAGTTTACTGGGGACCCAATGAGAGAGGGGGGGGGAGTAGCACAAGACGAAAAAGGGAGAAAAGGCGCGAGGACACTGTGAAGCAGTTCCAGCCAAAGCCGGTCCCACGGGGATCCTCGTCCAATCGGGCCTCCTTCCGTCTACAAATCCCCCGTCCAAATATTCAACTTCGTTTCTCCCCCTTTTCTCCCTCACCCATACATCTATACTCTGCTGCAGCCGCAGAGGGGAGAGGGTGTGGGGGGGGGGGTGTAATCAGTGTGTCCCTCCCACTTACATGCACGTAATAGATGTTTTCATTTAGCTTTTAATTACCTCGCATCCTCCCAATCGCATGAGTCCCAGTGGAAAACGATCAAGGTCTGGGGGGGGGGGTTGCGTGGCTCATTTTACCCCCCCCCCCCCCCCCCACCCCTCTGCCCCGCCGATCCCAGTCACCCACACACCGATAAGCAGTGACTGAGCAATGCGTTTTGTGTGCGTGCGTGACAGTTAAAAATGGAAAATAAACCTCCGAAAAATCAATTGATCTTTTCAGTTATTAATCAAGCGAGATTGTCCAAACAAACACAATCATAAATGATTATTCAGATGATGTAAAACAGCAAAAAAAAGGCCCCTGGTTCGTACATTTAAGTGTCAACAATGGGGGACTTTTTTGCTGTTTTACATCATCTGAATAATCATTTATGATTGAAATAATTCCAAATTGAATATCGCAACTTACATTGGCTGCAAATTTCCTATGCAATCATAGAGGAATAACAGATAGATAGACAGATGTCTCTGTAAGGACAGGTGACTCTGTAGGGACATCCGCTCGTCCCTCGATCTTCAATCGACGCGCAATCACCCGCTCGTTTAACGGGACGCCGCTTCGGTTTGAGGCGGCGGAGCAATAAAAAGGGTCGGTTGCCACGGGAATACATCAACACAGCTGCTGGCAGGTGCAGCGCACCAATCAAAGCAGGTGAGCCGAGGTGCAGCTTCCAGCAATGAGGGGGGGAGGGAGGGAGGGTGAGGCGGGTGAGACAACATCTCCCAGACTGTCAAGTTCCACACCCTCCCTCTGGCTGCCGCTCGCTGCTGCTCGCTGCCACACTGCGGATGTGTCAGCCGCCGCGCCAGACCCGACTCATCGGAGCTCGCCGGGGTCTGTGGGCGAGCGCGGCGGCGCCAGGGAAAACTAGCAGGAATGGATGGGACCAGTGCCGGCGCGCTCATTTGTATTTTTACTTGAGGGACTCAAAGGGGGCCTCCAGCATCTCGGCTCAGTGATGACATCAGTCACTCAACTGTTTGTGCCACACTGACACTGCATTGACTTATTGTGCACATTTAGGAAAGTCGAGTAACCCTTGTTGGCCCGTGTGTGTGTGTGTGTGTGGTCAGGTGGTGGACCTGTACTGGGGGGCCGACCCAGAGGAGTGGGACAGTCCGGACCTGCAGCGGATCAGGATGAAACTCCTGGAGGAGTGTCTGAAGACCTCGGCGGGGCCGTGTTTTGTTGTAAGTATCGCTGCGAGGTTGCACACGTGGTTCCACACGTCGCCGTGTGTCTGAAAAGCAAACCGTTGAATGAAACGTCTGCCTCGGTTTCCCCTCTTTCTCTCATTACGTGGCCTCGAGATAAAGCTGGAGGACAGCGAGGCCGTTTTTGAGATCTAATAGCCGGTCGAAACTGCCCTACATACGAGCGAAATCCAATTTTTGTTTCGTCTAACATTCGCGGCTTTTTTCTTGACGAATGCTGATTGAGCTTCTGTGGCTGCTGGAAATGTCAATAACTTCATCACTTCAATATATCATTTGCATTCAATGTACCAGACAGGTTGGGTGATAAAAATAAAAAAAAAGATGGAAACAGCTTCATCAAATAAGCGGCATCGTCTTCGCCAGAGAGCAAACAAGAAGAAATATTGGAAATAAGAAGAGTCCATTTCAAAGCTAAAATTACACCGGTATTAATGAGTCGTGTGAAGACCTGTGCAAAGGGGGCAGAGAGCGGCGTGACGCATAATTACCGCTGACATTTGAGCTTCTTCCTCAGATAATTTTAGGTTAAGTAAAAAAAAAAGTCGGAGAAAGGATGGAAGTAGGGGGAAAGGGGGCGGGGGGGTTGACAGGATGAGGAATGGATGGTGAATTATTGATGTGATCAGTTTCTGGAGGTTGAAATTGAGGTGCGAGAACCCAGGGAGACATAATGCATTATGGGAAGGACGGGAGCCCGAACCGCCTCTCCCCCCCCCCCCCCCCCCCCCCCCACAATCACAAAAACATTGTTTTCACACCAAAACACATTCGGCTTCACGATTCAGCTCATTCCCAGGTCTTAAAAAGCTTTTTAGTTTGCGGTTCCGCGAAGCGACGTCAAACACATTGGGATGATCCCACACTTGGCTTGAAGGTCAGGGAGCAGCAGCAGCAGCAGCATGGAGGCGGCGTGGTGCAGAAGCACAGTTGACCACTTGAAAGGCTCTCGGTGCAGAGAAATTGGAGAATTTCTGATTGATATTGCTGAAGTACTTTGGAGTTGACCCCCGGCGCTTTGAAAAGTTGTCTACTAATAATCGCGGCAGTCTAGAATTTTTTTATTTTTTGTCCTCTGTGAGATTTGCTGTCACGCTCTCTGAAGCTCATTGAAACGTTGTGTGCGACGTTGTGTGCGACGTTGCGGCGGCGCAGCGTAAGCTCGATCGGGCTAAAATCGCACTGAAACGGCCAGACCCCCCCCCGATGAAAAGAAGCGACGCGCTCGCCGCTTTTGTGCCGCGGGGGCTTTTTGTGTTTACCGCGCTGTTGTTCGTTCCCGCCGGCGCGGCAATTTCACCTCTTTAACCCCCCCCCCCGACCGACCCCGAGCAATGCGGCATGCGAGGCATGCAAGATTCAGGTACGCACACACACACACACACACACACACACGGTTCTAGGAGCGGCCTTCTGGGTGGTTTGATCGGCAACTCGGATCCTCTCGTTTCTGACAGTTCTGGGCCGTTTCCAGAGAGCCGTTAGTTGTTTTCACAGGGGGAGGGGGGGCGGCTAGACCGAGATACACAACAATCAGCCACATGGCAGAAAGAGGAGGCTTCAAAGAGCATCTCGTGCAGGGATCAGGGAGGAAGCAAGGGAAGGAAAGAGGGAGGAAAACGTTACACATACGCACTGATAATTGGTGTGAGAGAAGCCGAGGAGGTGTGCTGGGCTTCTGTTGCAGAAGGAGAAGAAAGGGGAGGGGAATTGGGGGGGTCGAAGTTGCACTGACACTACACAGGAAAACAGGATTGGCACGCGTAGTGTAGGTGTGTTGCTTGCTGCCAAAGAGGATCTGTGCAACAACTAAGAACCTCCTTATACTCGTTTTGGCAGCATAAAGACGTCTCTCCTGGTTCCCCCGCGGCAATCATTCCGCGCGATGTCGACGTCAAGGCAGCCGACTAATCCCTGCTCCTCATCTCTGCCCGATCGCATCACTTGATGTGGAAACTATAAAAAAAAATGCAACATGGAGATTTGGAGTTGTCTTAGTTCATAATATATATTTGGCGAATATGCCGGTCTGAAGGAATCAATTGCAGCGAGTGTTTTTTCAAATGCCACGGCTGAACACATGTCAGGTGGCCGGGTTGTTGGACACACACACACACACAGAAACACACACCTGGGGGGCGAGGGGGGGGCTTTTCTCCAACCTGTCGATGCAATAAAGCCGGTTTCCATGGCGATCGCAGGGGTTGGCATGGTGACGGTGTCATTGACCCGGAGATTAAGCATGACAATGAGCCATGACTGTTTTTCTTCTTCTTCATCTTCTTCATCTTCTTCTTCTTCTTTCGCTCTTCTGCTCTCCAACAGTCTCAAATTCCCTCACGTTAAAAAACAAAAAAAACATCAGCACTCGATCGATGCCTCGAGGGGAACGGGAATCGGGAACCAGCATCCAGTTCTTCGGCTTTGTTCTCTTGCTGCATGTAAGAGGATAGTTGAGGGTACCGGAGGGCTCCTTTTCTCTCTGCTTCCCCTGCATTCAGTCAACATGGTGTCAGTGTTTAGGTGACAGCGCACGACTCTCCTCCTTTACTGGAAGTGGATTTCCGTGCTAAGAACCGATCAAAAGACTTTTCTGCATGTGGGAATCGTCCCTGCTCAGACTCCTAATGTTAGGATTAGACCGGTTGGAAAGCTTCGTTTCAAATCAGCACAGCACACTTATTTGACCTTTTCAAGTGTGCCGTTGATAGACACAGTAGTGTTTTAGCAGAAACCTTCATACCTAATACTAGGTTTGACTTCAGCCCTTACAAGCCCAATCCCATTTGTTCCTGAAGATGTAAATCTTTAAGAGCTTTTCAATTATGTAAAATCTTTATTAATATCCTAAAAGAGCCGACGGTAGAGGTGGATTAATACACACATGCCGACCGCGTGGGTACTCACAGCGACTTACTGTCTGGGTTCACCTGAACGTGTCGCCCAGAGCTGCTCGTGGGTTTTTGTCAGCTATCGGACAACAACATCGTTCTTTTTTCTAGTAGTAAGTGTTCGACTCACTTCTTTGTGAGCGAGCGTTCACGTCCTCGAATATTTCTCTGTTTGGATCGTCGTCATTTTTTTTTTTCTCTCCCTCCGCGTTGCCAAAGCTTACGCAGCAAATACGGTAACGGTCGACTGCGTGTTTCCTTGATTGATCGACCCCGTGAGTGTTTGACTTGTTGGTTCATACTGTAGCTGTGTACAATAACTTAAGACGCCTCACCCCATCCGGCTCATCAGCTAGAGTGCACTTAGGCGGAGTACAAAAGCCCCCTTTTCCGAGGATGAGGAACCAAAACGGGGAGGAGGGAGGCGGAGGGGGGAGGAGGGGGGCTGAAACCCGAAATACCGTTTGGAAGCTAAACATCGTCACTTTTAGCCTTTTCTTTCACCTTTTATCATTTTCATAGGCAACACCAGTTGGTTTTACCCTCATCCAATCGCTCATCCCGCCGGGTCACCTGACGGAGACTTGCAGAGCGACTGTTCTCTCCCTCTCCCTCTCCCTCTCCCTCCCTCTCTCTCTGCTGTGGTCGGGCCCAGTGGCTCCATCCTCTATTGATCCATCACTGCAGCACCGTGAGTCGTAACAGGCCGTCCAAACAGGGAGGCCAGCGCGCTGGTTCAAGGATCAGGGCCTCAGTCGAGTCTTAGCAATACAAGTTTGTGATATACTCATAGTCGTGTACTCATGCACTCAAGTAAGCTTCAAAAGGAAATCATTTATATTTAGCTAACCCTCCCCCCTGAAACAGCAACTTCAAGAAGCCACGTTAGCATTACCGGCTAGCTAGCTAGCTCATTACTGAAAGCAGAGAATGACGCATTGTTAGCTCTGCTAATGGTTTTAAATGGGATGCACTAACCTGTAGGTTGGTCATATTCCCATAACGTATTTATATTTTAATTTGCTCAAATTAGACCTTCACGTATGGCTTAGGCCTACAGCATTTAGCATCAGGGAAAATAACCACCGTTTTTTGACTTCTGCCTTTTGTATGGAATAGAAAACGAAACTATTACTCATCGCTGTTAAATCAACCTACATTTCTGGTCGGGAAAACAAAAATGAAACTCATCTTTTAATGCAATTTCCGAATGCTGCACCTGTCACTTGAAACAATAAAGGTTTGAATTTAGCTCGTGATCATTCCCGTCAATCACAACGCGAGACACTGAGCAGCTTGTCCCAATTATCCATTAAGCTCTTTGTTTTGGCAGGAAGGGAACACACAGAGTAACAAGAGGGAATCCCTTTCATTTCTTCCTCTGCTTTGTATTTTCTGTCTGACAGCTTGGCTCATGTTCTGTATTTAAATCAGCTCTGTTGTCTTCTGCACTTGAATATTCCAGTCACAAGTGGCTCGTTTATCGTCATCTAGTACAATTTTCCTTTGAACCCTCTGGTTTTATTGCAAATGCTTAAATATTTAGGGGATTCAAAATGACATTTATATGTTTTAGTTGTTTCACCCTTGGGTGCAGGATACATACGTTTGACGCGTGGTTCCATTACAGAAGAGGGTCAGCTTACTGTTTACATGTTGGGAATGATGGGCTCGGATACAAAATGCAACATTACACCTCCGCCTCCTCCTCCTGAACAACTGATACTGTACACAAAAACAAAAACAAGTTGCAAAAAATAGCTGCAAAATGAACCTGTCGTATCAAATATGTGCAACACGGCCACAAAACTGCACCAGAGGGGAGCCGCTCCTGCAGACCGAGCCACATGCCGTCATCGGCTTCTGCTTGATCTCTGCGTCCGTTCCCACCGCGGAGGCCAAGGGAAGAAGGAGTCCCCCCCTTCCCCTCCCCGAGCGTTCACATTAACCTGGTTTTCCTGCTCGTCGGAGCTCACAGTCATTTGGACTGTGCCTCACTCATCCCTGCGACTTCTACTGTGATGTGAATTACGACACGCGGGGGGGTCAGGTCAAGATCACGGAGTCTGGGATTTCTATCGCTGCTCTCATTCTCTTCCAATGTGTCTGATATACATTCACACACATATCAAGGACCAGGCCGAGGGACGGCCGCGGTCACGTCCTCAGGCTGTCACTCAAGCTTATTTGCATAGCAGGCAGGGGGGTGGGGGGGGAGGAGGGACACTCGTTGGGGCTTCCAGTCGATGTATGCCATGTGGAGTGGGTGATAATAGCGGGATGGAAAGGCCACTGTTTAATTTGATGATGTCTAATCATGCAGCTGAGTGTTCTAGTTTCCGGCCGAGGTGATTGGTTGGTTTTAGCTCTGGTGGATGATGTCAGTGGCCGTGACGAAAACAACATTTACTTTAAGAGCACAGAAGCACAATTAAATCAAATTTCACGCTGTTTGATTCCCACAGATCTGCATTCCTCACTTTAATTAATGCATGCATTTCTTTTTTTTTAAATGCAAAACTGTCCCATCTGCTCGTTCCCTTCATACTAACGATTACTGAGCATTAGGAAATTTGGCCAACGCTGTGTATTTTTTAAAATCAGTGTGTCATCCAAACATTTTCAGAACAAATGTGCTATTTGCCACCGAATAAATTGCAATTACAGTGTCGCGGAGTTGGCGTTGAAGCTTCAAGGGCAAACTAAATAGCAGCAGGCTATCAGCAAGAAAGCGTTTTATTTACATTTTTTTTTTATCGACTTTATCTGGCTTCAGCGTGCCGGTGTTTTTCTATTTGTGTATTTAAACCGTACCATGTGGCGTGAAGCCATCTCCCTCCCAGAGAGAGCTGTCAGCCGCCGGGGCATCGCCGTGTCAGCTACGGCCCCCTGATGCCACCGATTGGCTGCTGGAGGCCCACAGTTGCACCCGTGGCTCTGAAATTGCCTTAAATAAGTCACACTGTGTGCATCATCACCTCTGTTATTCGCCCTGTCCAACAAGAAAAAGGAGCACTAAAACCGTGTGTTTATACAACATGTCTTCCTTTCCTTCCTTCCTTCCTTTCTTCCTTCCTTTCCTCGCTCCAGGGTCTGGTGGGAGAAAAGTACGGCAGCATCCGGGTGCCGGGGGAGGTGGAGTCGGCGGAGTTTGAGATGATCTTGGACGCGGCGGTGGAGGCGGGGCTGGACACGCACGTCTTGGAAGAGTGGTACTGCAGGGACGAAAACTCGGTGCCACCCGCATACTACCTCAAACCCAAAGCCCAAATGCTCAAGAACTACCAGAACTCCGTGAGTCCGGGCTGACATGGCCACCGCGTTGGCCACACGTTATTCTGGTGATGGATTACCGAAATCCTGCGCTTTACTGTTTGTTTTGCAAATGACAAAGTCCTTGAGTGACAGCTCTTTCAGCTCAGTTCATTTGACATAAAACTGTTACCTTCTTATCTTTATAGAGGGATAAATGATCTGGATTAGCTTCGTATTGTCAGCCACTTAAACAAGTTTCCTAATTTCAAAATATCTTAAATCCCCTGAGCGTTTCAGAATCACGTAAAGAGGTTGATTAGATCTTCAAAAAGCAATCCAGCCCACATTACCCACTCATTTCAAATGAATGTCGCTCACATTAAACACTAATCAATATTCCCCTTTCGCCGCTGCACGCCACTTGAATAAGCGCGTTCCCTCGGTTCACATTTGAGCGGTGAAGTCAGGCCGTCTTCTCTCGCCGTCCCGCGCAGATGGAGTCAAGCAGCGCAGCCAAGACCAAGAACGACAAGGCCTGGAGGAACGTGTCGGAGGAGATCAAGAGGGTCTTCCGCACGGCGGTGCTGCAGCTCCAGGAGAAGGGGACCATGAAGAGCGCCGAGGCGAAGAAATTCCTTTGCTCTGGTGAGTCTCCGGTCGACGTCTTTTCCATCTTCGAATAACGTCAATTCGAGTAGACGTCAGCTCCGCTGTCCGGTTTGGAGGCGCCCTGAAATTATTTATTTATATTCATGGAAAGCTTTGAAGGCAAATAATAGAATTTCAAAATGACACCTTTTATGAAGGCAACTTTGTCTGAACTATAAAAGGAATTAAATGAATGTAACCGAGTTACTTAAGGGTGATTTCTATTGTCGGAAATGCCAGAAATTCAGTGGTTCTCGCTTCTCAAAGGTGAATATTTTTGGGATTTGAGTCTCTATGAAATCCTACTAAATGTCTTACAAGAAGTTTACAACATTTTCCAAAATTATCATGGATATTTCTTTCATAAGTCTCACACTTTTCTGACTTTCACAGACCAACAATTACATAATTAAATAATGAATAAATTGCAGATAATGAAAGATAAAATAAGTACATGTGGTTTAAAGTCACCACACATCTCCAACAATTACATTACATACCTTTTCTAATAGTTGACGCGAAACCAAAGAAAGCGGCTGCTGATAGAAAAATCCTGATTCTTCGAAATCAACCTTCGTGGGGATAAAAAATCACATGGACAAAGGTTTTGTTTTTAATGAGTGAGGGCGCTTTGTAGGTCGTCATTTTGTCGGTAAATTGGTCACAGGGGATGAGATGCAATTTGGATCTGTCAGACTCACCTCAGCAGATGACAGCGATCGATCGATTGATCAGGTTTTATTTTCTCCTCTCGGTAATTAATCCAAACAGTGTATTGCGATGACAGGTGGAAAAAGACAAAATACTTTTCCAGCAAACCCTTTCCCCCTTTTTTACTCATGTGTTATTATGCATCAATTGCAGTAATTATCAGGTAGATTGTGTTGTGTCACAGACCGTCACTGTGGTGGATGATTCAAGCGAGATGTTATCCGAATCCGATGACAAGTCCCTGTTTTATAGGCTCGGCTGTGTTCCGGTGGAACAGACACAGCATATAAACAATAGGCTAATTAAGGAAAAGTTTTATCATTTCACATGAAGACAGGAAACGTCTCTTTTTATACACCATAATTGGGCTTCAAGCAGTGCTTCAAGAAGTTCTGCCGTCTCCTGATACTTTCATTTTGCACTTTTCTCGCTCCCACCTAATTAATAGGCTTCCATGTGAGCCCAACCACACACGAGATGCTGGCAGGATTTCAGTCAGCCGGCTCTTTGTTGTTGTTTGGGAGACCGTTCCCTCTAGAAAAAGCCCAAGAGGAGCCCAATCGATCTAAGCGGAGGCCAAAGGCTTCCAAAATCGGTTCCGTTGCTCCTGAAAGAAACGTACATCAGTGAGACGTTTATCTTTCAAAGTTGTACATAACAATCTTCAAAGTCTTTCATAGGTCACAAAGCACAGTGCTGAGTTTTTTTTTAATAAAGTTTTTAAATCCAGTGTTTACAGAGTTTGAGGAAGTCTTGATCTGTTATTCCTCTCCAATTTCAGCCTTGGAGGACGAATTGGACTTCGCCCTGGGGAAACAAACTCCCGCCTTTCTCAAAAAATGCGTCTGCTACATCCGCAAGATCGCCAACTTCGACCGCTTCGCCAAAATCCCCGAGATGACCCGGTACATGGACACCGTGGTCAGCGACGAGCGCGTCATGCGCAACCAGGAATCCTACGAGCGCCTCCTGAAGGTGCGGGACGAGTTCATCCCCACGGTGGTCGCCGCCTCCAACCTCCGCGTCTACTCTTCGGTCACCCACTGCGACATGAAGCTGGGCTACTCGCAGGAAGTGGAAAGCCACTACGTGGAGGGCCTGTGTAAACAGTTCTACGAGGACATGGTGGACATCATTCAGGCCACGGTGCAGCAGAACCTGGGCGCCGAGACCGACCCGCTGTACGACGAGATCCTGCAGCACCTGTCGCTCTGCAAAAGCTACGCCGAGCTCTACCAGTTCAAGGCCGAGTCGCTGGATTACGTGCAGGAGTACCTCTCGCCCTCCAAGGGGAGCAGAATGAGCCCCCTGGTGGTGTACGGGGGACCTTGCACCGGGAAGACGCTGCTGCTAGCCGAGGTGGCCAAACAGGTGAGACACCATGTCAATGACGCCGTTATCTTCTCCCGCCCCCTTTTTTTTTTTTGCCAGACTCTCGCACTTCTTTCTCAGTGTGTTGGCACTTTCGCTTGTCCGTGCGCCCGTTCGTCTCCTCTGATGAAACGCTCCCTTGACCATCTGCCCGTCTGCCAAAAGACGGCACGTTGCCACGCACGCCCCTCTGGCTTACTGCGAGGCCACGATCGTGCGCACTGAGCGACCACATGTGACCTCACAGGCTTGCTTTTTCTGCCTGTGTGTGTGTGTGTGTGTGTGTGTGTGTGTGTGTGTGTGTGTGTGTGTGTGAGCATCTGTCGAGATTCGGCGAAGATGTGTGTTTTTCTCCGGCCGTTGTTGCGCCGTGTGCCATCTGGCTGCCCAGGCCACGTTAGGATCACGCCACAACCGAGACCATACGCAACAAAACACGCAGCTCTAAAACACCCGTCTCAACCTCGGTGACCTTGGCGCGCACGCTCGCTGTGTTCGTGTTCATTGGAGGCCACAGAGTGTAAATCCCACTTGACCTATGATGGGTCATTCTGAACCCTGGAGCATTATTTTGGTACTTTTGAGCTCAAGCTAACTTGTAACCTTTACTTACAACAAACAATGAGGTTAAAACCAGTCCACCGAGGAACTAAAGGAACACAGCTCAAAATGTCGTCAAGCGATTGTGGAGGTGAGCGCAAAAACTCGGGTTTAGATTTAGAAAAAAAAAACACCTGTATGTCTATAGAGAAAAGGATTCATTCACAATTTTAAAAAAATGAGACAAGCTAAAAAGAGACACACTATACCCCCTAATGAATGGAAAACAACATGAGGATAATTACAGAGGGAGTTATGAGATGCTTTATTCTTTTCTCAGCTCACCACAGTAGGATGTAATGAAACTAGTTGTTAATTGAGCTTCTGTAGTATAACAGCGTTACAGTAATGTATTGTGAACAGTTAAAGAATATTGCCAGAGCTGGAGTCCCGCTTAATTTCCCTCCAGGTTAATACGGTTTTGTGGGCTTTCCTTCGTGTGTTTGTTTAAGTGCATACTTATTTAGAAAAGCTATATTGAGATGTTGAAGTGTCTATAATCTTGCCTTTCTTTTAAAATAGGTATATCAATTTAACACAATTGTACATATTCTTACTTAGTTCATTATATTTTATTTGTCAATAACTTTCTATGAATAAATGATAAAATCGACCCGTTAAAAAGTCAAGGCTGAAGAATGTTATGAATTCAGTTTTACAGACAGATATCTGTAAAATATTTATGAGTGTAAATGAATCTGTGTCGCTCTCTTTCTTCTTCTCTCCCGCGTCTCTCACACATACACACAGCTAAATGTGGAGCAGGCATCATCACTATTGCCCTAAATGTGTCAAATAACATCTTCATGTCTCCTCAAATCTCAGCTGGGCTATTTATTGAATTCATGAATGGAATGAAAATATAAGTGAAGTCTAAAGAAATTAGCGTAGTGCTCATTCGTCGAATGTATTGATTGATTGAAGAAATCATATGGTTTAAAAATTAAATCTATGTAATAATTACTTTGAGAATAGCTAAAGGGATTCAACAATGTTGAGATTTTAAAAAGTCAAATAAGAGTTACCTTAAGGTAAAACGTTCCATGCTGAGCTAATCAGCATTCCTTGCAGTGTTAAAATAATGATACGTTCACTGTAGAATTTTGATTATTCCAGTTGTTTTGATCAAACCAAGTACAATGCAAGTACAGTTAACTCTAAATATTAACACACGTCTTCTCCATTTTAACATTTTTTGGGACTTTTTACATGTAATTCCGGTTTACCATAACGTAACTATCATATGTGCTATTCTAATGTGGACTATTTAAAGTACCTATCTATTTGCTAATTCAACTCTACATATTCTAACAATCTTCTCTGATGTTTTTTTTTCAGGCCTACACCTGGCTGCAGAAAGAGATGGGCCCTGAAACCGACCCAGTGGTTATTGTCCGCTTTATCGGCTCCAGCCTGCTCTCCACCGACCTACGCACTCTCCTCCAGAGCATTTGTGAACAGATTGCAATAAACTACCGCTGCCTGATTCACTTTTTGCCTAACAAGATCCAGGAGATGAAGGAGCTCCTCATCAACCTTCTCGGGGAATCTTCATTCCACCGGCCTTTGGTCATTGTCCTGGATGCCCTCGAGCAGCTCTCCGACGCGGACGAAGTTCGCAAGCTGTGGTGGCTCCCCATACATCTGCCTCGGACGGTTCGCATTGTAGTCTCAACGTTGCCCAATAAACATGGCATCCTGCAGAAGTTACGACAGCTCATCCACGATGAGGGGTATTACTTGGAATTAATCCAGAGGGACCGCAAAGTCTGCAGCCAAACATTGAAACAGCAATTGCTGGGGGTGAAGCGCAAGGTCACCTCGGGCCAACAGATATATGTCAACGAGGCACTTTCCAAGTGTACATTGCCGATGTTTGTCAACCTCATCTACAGAGAAGTCCTCCATTGGAGGTCTCACAAAGATGTGGATGACAGGTCCCTGTGCTCCACAGTGCACGAAAGCATAGAACAGCTCTTCTACTCGGTGGAGAACAAGCTGGGGCAACGATTCGTCTTCCGAGCATTAGGATATATCACCATGGCCAAAGCGGGCCTAACCGAAGTCGAGCTGGAAGATATTCTATCCCTTGATAATATAGTTCTTGGGGATGTAATTGTAGCAACATACCTTAAAAACCCCTTGAGGATCTCTTATGATTTGGTTGCAAGGCTCAAGGAGGAGCTGGATGGCTATCTTGTGGAACGTCAGGTGCGCAACGTCACCTTGATGGTTTGGGCCAACAGACACCTGCATCTCATTGCCCAGAAGCTGTATCTCAGCAACGAGGAAGACGTCCATCAAATGCACAGCCTCCTGGCTGAGTACTTCCTGGGGGCATGGTCGGGAGGCAGGAAGAAGATCTTCACTTACGATAACAACCATTTCACTTCGCTGAATATATCCCACCACAAAAACCCTCACCTTCAGCAGGCCCATGAAAAAACGTCCTCTGACAAGTACTCGTATGACAGACAGACTCCGGAGCAGCCTTGGGTGTTCCAGTGCAATCTTTTAGAGCCTGACATTTTCTTTGTCAATCATAGGAAGATGACAGAGCTGGTGTACCACCTCACCAGGAGTGGGCGCACTGATGACCTCATGTTTGGTGTGATCATGAACTTCAGCTGGCTGTACACAATGATCAAGATTGGCCAGTTTGAAAAGGCTTTGACAGACATTGACCTAGCTTACAGCTACACCCAAGAGAAAGAACTGAAGTTCTTGGCCACCACTCTCCGTTGCATCAAGGTAAAAGTGCTGAAGAACCCAGCATCACTGTCTGCAGAACTGCAGCAAAGACTTCTTCCAGTCGTCACCTCCCTTCCCAAACTCAGACACCTCCTCCTGGAGTGTGACAAAGATGGCCCCAAGTACTGCTCCATTGTGCCTCTCCACTCCTCTATGGACGTCACCTACAGTCCAGAGAGGCTTCCTCTGTGCTCTAGCTACATGCAGATTGTGGAGATCTTGCCCACTCTGGCCCCAAACATAGTTCTTGTGGCCCTCGAAGATGGGTCCGTCAGCACCTGGGATGTAGAGAGTAGACAACTTCAAAGACAAATTGACACAGCCAGATCCGTTGTGCTCGGCATCAGGCTAACAACTGACGAAAAGTATCTGGTCGTGGCCACCACCAAAAACACGTTGCTCATTTATGATAATCACAAGTCCTGCCTTTTATCAGAGGTTGAAATCAAGGGGTCCAAACATGGTGGTGTCACTGGTGGGGTGGCCTTCATCAATGGTTACACTTTGTCCACCCACCATGCTTTGGCTTGGCTCGAGGCTAGTAAGGAAGTCAATGTCATTGACCTGCTTTACGGGTGGCCTCTCTATCAGTTTCATTGCTGGTATGAGGTGACTTGTGTCCAGTGCTCTCCAGATGGAATGTACGCCTTCTGTGGACAGTACCTCAACACTGCTACCGTCTTTCATCTAGGAAATGGGGACAAGTTGGCCACTATGACCTCTGAGTTTTCTGGAGGATTTGTTAAATCCATTCTTGTCCTTGACACCCTAAACCAAATGGTGATGGTTGACAATGAAGGCAGTTTGTCGGTATGGAACACCAAAGAGATCTCCAGTCCACGTCTAATGGAGGATTACGACTGCAGAGGGGATGACAGTGAAGTGGTGGGCATCGAGTTATCTGAAGACCAGCGCTCCATTCTCATTTGCAAGGCGAGAAGTATCGAAGTTCTGGACACAAAAGTATGGAAAATGGTGGAGAAGTTCAAAGCCAAACGCACTGAACGCTTTGTGGCTGCTGTTCTCTCAAAGAATGGACAAAGCATCGTGGCCTCCATGGAGAACACGTCCTCCATCTTTGTCTGGAGAAGGGACAGTGGACAGTGCATGGCCAGTCTGATTGAGATCTCAGGGGCTATCGTCAAACTCATTAAATCTACCCACCACAATCTGCTCCTTTCTGTTGCCAGCAGTGGCGTGCTGTCTGTTTGGGACATTGATATTATCACCGCCATGTCTAATATTGACAAAACGGGCAAGAAGATCCAGACCTTGCAGCTGTCCGGCAGAGAGGATTATGTGTTTACTATGGACGGTTCAGAAGCCGTCCACAAGTGGAACTTCAGCACTGGATTTATTGAGACAGTCTTTAAGCATGAGGGCATAGTGGAGAACTGTGTCCTAACCTCCTCAGGGGATCTCATGGTGACATCAGATGACAAGTCCAGTCAGTACATCTGGCAAACCACAACCGGAGAAAACATCTTTCGTATCAATGGGCAGAGAATATCACAGCTGCTAATCACCCACAACGACCAATTTGTGGTGTCCCTGTGCGAGCAGAACGCATCCAGAGTCTGGAGGCTCGGGACTGGGCACAAAGTGTGCAACATCTTGGTCACCCTCCAGAATGCACTCGTCACCACAGCAAACACCTTCCTCGTGGGGAGCTCCAAAAACAAGCTCCTCGCTGTCAGCCTGTGGTCGGGCAGCGTGTCCAAGAAGTTTGTCTGCGACGATGGCATTAGCATTGTCAACTTCAAGCTCATTCCTGACTGCCCCGACTGCGTGGTGTTCATCACATCCACAGAGACCGTCTTCATCTGGAGTGTGGCGGACGAGTCAGTTTGCCGACGGGTTCAGTTGCCGACCAATTTCCTCAAAAATCTAGAGGACTTCCAGATCTCTCCCAATGGGAAAGTAGGAATTGTGTCCAAAGGTGATGAGAATATTAATGTCCTGGATCTTCACAGCGGGAAGCTGAGGCTGGTCCATGCAGCTGGTATAATTTGGCGTCAGAAATTATCAAGGGATGGACGTTATCTCGTCTATGTTTGTTTCCGGAACTGCGACGAAGACGACGACGCCGGTGTTGTGTCCAATCTGATCGTGATGCGCCTCGCTGACGGCAAGAGCATCGGCACGTGCTCCCTGTACAAGACGCCCACTTTCCTGTGTCTCTCCCAGCGAGCGCTGAACATCATCATCGGCTTCGAGGACGGCAGCATCGGTACGTACACGGTGGTGGATCGCGTGGATGCGGCCCTCAAGATAAAGATAGCCACCTCCAACAGCCGACAGATTGTCAACAATGCCTCGCAAAAGGTGCGTCCCAAATGTGGCAACCATTCGTTCAAGACCGTTGCCGACTGCACCTGGCGAGAGTCCACCGAGGTCTTCTCCAGGGACAGTCCTATCAACGTGTCGGACTCCGGGGAGGGCGAGTCGACCACGCCGACGAAAAAGACAGAACTGCTGCAGTGATGAGCGGAGGTGAGAGTAGCAGGTGTCAAGGCAGGCAGGTAGAGAGAGGAGACAACGTTTTGAATCTCTGGGGTTGCAGTTGATTCTTGTTTACAGCCACGTGATTCAGCTGCAGATGTCAGCCCTCTGGGTAGTTAATGGGCCGACCGTATAAACGCTGCACTCAAATGATGTATTACTTACTTCCAACCCATGATACAGTCTCTCTTTGTTTTCCTCTCGAAGACTGTTAGAAAAATACTGTTTTTGGAAAGTAGAGTATTAGTTTGCCATTATGTGTCCTTCTGCATTTGAAGAACAAAGTTATTATTCAAATGTCTTCATCAAACATTTTCAAAGCCATTCCAGTGATCTTAGCCACTTTCATTGTACATTATCTTTATTTACATTGTACACATTAAGCCATAATCTCCAAGAGTAGATTTATGTTTGTATCAAAATCTGTCGGTACTGTAGAAAAAAGCAAGAACAATGAACATGTGTACATATCCCTTTATGGCTGCTGCAATTTGTGCAACTCCTTAAAATGTTATGTTGTGCTTAATGCAATCAAAGTGAGTGCCTGGAATTTTAATGTTATTTATGTGCAGATTACAAGATTTATGAAAATGCAGGGAATTTGTAAACACGGTACACACACAGTTACATAATACTTGCATTGATGTTAAATCTAAGCGGTCAGTGTACAAAAATCCAGTCAACAACCTGAGAGATCGATGGCATTGCTCTTTGTAATTATAGTTGTAGAAATTTCATGGAACAGTTTACGGAAAGTTGGTGTGAATTTACCTGCAGTTCCATCGGTCTGTGTGCTGTTTGTGTTAAGGGAAACGCCACTATTGAGCATACAGTGTAGCATAGCACCATACACAGTCACGCCTTAACCAGTGTAATTGCTTTAGGTTTAGTGGAGTTTATTCAAATGTGTCATTAGAAAAGGACAGAGTGATTTGCTCAATGTTTCACTGAAACACCTTGGTGAATATATTTAGTGGTTTAGGCAATAGATGGAAGCACTTTATCAGTGGTTTGTGATAAATGACTAGATTTATTTATTTGAAACATTGTATAAATTGTTTGACTTAAAATAGGTACTGGAAATGCCTTCAAAAATACAAAAGGCCATCCTGGTACTCGCGGTATACGGTTAAGTCACTTGAAATGCTACAGTCTCTCTCTCTCTCTCTCTATATATATACATATATATATTTGTCTGGTACCAATTCAAAATTAAGATGCTGTCAACTGTCAATCAGATGACAGCAAAGACAGGACATTTGGAAATATATAGGATCAATACAATGTTGTGATTGTTTAGAAATCATTTCAATACCTTTGGTTATATATCAGCTTTCGTAAACCTGTAAAAAAAAGGAATTTGCATGGAAAGAATTGGAAATGTTAAAATAAATAGACATATACCAATAATATAATATTGCATAAATTGGCTTCAGGGTGTTCAAAGAAGAAAACTGGACAACTTTTAAGTTACAGGTTTAAAACTTATATATTATATATTAAAATATTAACTTCATGTTATTATTTTTGCACAACTTCTATTATTTCTTCAAACGAGAAAAGGTTTCCCTTACATATTCACAGTGGTTACTTGGAGGATATATCTTCTAATCTTTTCTACCCGTATGTAATTACATGGGAAGAGGCTGGAATAAAAGCTCTTCAGATCTGGTGTGCTGACAATCTGCTGGCAAAGCACTCATCTATGAAGTTGTACCTTGCAGGTGCCCTGATTGCTTTTTAAGCATGTCTGTAATGACCCAAAACGCAATTTTGAACTCTCTGATGACACCAATCATCAGCCAGGCATGATTGAAAACCACACTCTTACACTCTGACATATACTTTCTAAGGGCTATTCCATCTTATTTAATGTTTACTAGTTTTGAAATGTTGAGATAGTGGCCCTTGGATCATTTTAAAACCGAGTAGCAGCATCGAGCTTTAACATTTTATTTCCCTAGAATTTTTAAATATATAAAAAATAAAGACATTATGTAATTGCCAAAGTCCCGATTATAGTTTGTGTTTTCATTTCCTTTGATTGTCTCATTTGTTTTTTGAGGCTTGTACTGTAATGATATTGTTAACGAGATGTTTCAGTGGTCTACTGTGATTATGTTTATGATAGAGACAATGTGCTATCTTTGCTAAAAAAAAGTTTAAAAATATATTGGAATGCCAGTTCAAGAGTATATTTGAATGTGTCCACATGGAAGCCAGTTAACGGTATTATTGTATGTTAAGTAACTTGAATGACTTTTAAAAACGTACATGTTTGCCACTCATAGTTGACATACTGGTATACTGAATGTTTCTATCGTATTCTTTGTATTGTCAGGACTGACTTACCTGTGTAGAGATTTATATTTTCCTAAATGTTGTACTTACATTTTGTTACGGAGTTGTTTAACTGGAATTCCAAAAGAAAAGAAACTTATGTCTGAAGCAATATGAAACTAGTGTGTATGCATCGTTTGTATGAAACATTTTAATGAAATAAAATGGTTCACTTTCTGCCTCCACTCCACCGCCTCTGCCATCGTTTTTTCCTGCTTTTTATTTACTGTTTTTCGACTTCAACGAGAATGAACTCTCGTCTAATTGGCTACAATTAGTCCATCCCTGACGTACGGGTGGCTGTAAAGTAAAGTTGCAAAGCATGCTGGGTGGAGGTTCTTTCACGGATCAGATAACACTGACGGTGCAGACGGCCTCCCCTACACACACACACACACACACACACACGCACAACAGAGCTGTAAAATGATGTGATGGGCCAGTAATTGCTCTTCTGCGCTTGATGCCAGACAAGCGTGGTGAATATTTCTCCAACACTGGATGACATTGTCATTGTAATTAGGCGCAGGGGGCACCTGTGCGGCGCCCCCTGCGCCAAACACACACACACACACAAACAGACAAAATAAACTTGCAAGGCAAACACATCTAGGATCAAGCTGTGATTGGCCAATAAAACCCTGTTGCTTTGGGCTACCATTTTAATTTCCCAGCGGTGTCACTCCGAGCCGATATGTGCGCCTGCGTGTGCGTCTCCACGGCAACATCAGGTCCATGGCGGTGCCGGGCCCTTGGTCACGCCTCTCATTGTAAATGACGGTGAGCTCATGTCTGTTTGGCTACTGGGGCCACTTCCAGTCCGTACGACAACACGGCGCATTCCACCTGCAGCGCCACACGGGCGTGTGATCACTCTGCTGGCTGTGTGGAGCAGGAGGTCTCCACAGGTCATGCCACGTGTGTGTGTGTGTGTGTGTGTGTGTGTGCGTGTGCTCGCGTTGGTACAGTAGGACATTGTCTCTTATTTACTCAGGCCTAGAATAGCCTCTTCATTGTCAACTGCGTTTACTCTGTAAGGCCGGGGCCCTCCTTCAGTCATCCTTCAGTCATCCTTGCAGTATTTCCACCGTAACGCTACAACCTCTGGTTGGAGTGCTAGACCCCCCCCCCCCCCCCCATTGTTTAATCCATTGCGTTATTCTTTACTGATCGGTGAATCATTACAACTAAGTGCTTTTCTTTCTCGGTAGATTGCAGATACTGTTTTTAAAGGGCCAACTCAAGGAAGGAACAAAGTCCATTCGCTTTTTCGGCAGACTTGACGCGTCACTGCCGACGCCCGACACAAAGGATACTCAGCAATGTTTGACAACGGATCAAAGTTATCGACCTTTGGAATGAATGATCATTAAAATGAAAAAGATGACAAGCATTTAGATTCAATCTGAGGTCATGTGTACCCACGGAAACAACAAAGTTAAGTTCTCTGAATCCTTCATTAGTATTTTCATTGAAAAGATTTTTCCGCGAGCTCAAGGTAGATTCTCCAAACTTGGAAACAGTATTTGACTAAACCATCTAACTACAAATGTCCATTAGTGGATGTTTAACCTCAACTTTTAAGCCGACATAGAACAAATTCCATGAACGCATCAATATGGTTCTTCTTAGTAATCTATGCATTTTTTTGGAGCGGAATTACACTCAAAATACTTTAAGCGAAACCTCGAGTCGAGTGTAAAAGCAGCAGCAAGTGGTTTTGTGTCTTTTCTTGCAACCACCTTTGTGCTAAGCTAACAGTCTCCTAGCTTTTCAAATTCAACCGACTGATAAGAGAGCGGTATCTTCTTTCCTCCCTTTGCAACCAGGCGAGGAGCCCAGTGTATTTCCTCCAATGTTAAATGTGGTGGAAATTCTCCCCCGACATTAAACACTTCGATCGTCCTCATGTTGTGGTTTTTAACGTGGCATTTTTTTTTTCTTCCAAAAGCCTGCGTCTGAAAAAAATGTTTCATACGCTCAGAGCGTCGGCGAGGAAAAGTGTTTATACAGAAGAACAATGTGACTTACACAAACATAGGTGTGTTAAAGGTTAAAGGTTGTTAAAGGTTAACGTTGAAGGATAATTCCACATTTCCAACGTCAAGCTCAACCAAAAGAGAGGCGGCACCAAATGCGGTGTCCTTTCTAACCCTGCATCTGTTATTGTTAGAACACCTTCACCAAACAAAACGCACTGTCCGTGTGTCTAGAACCGCTCAAACCGGTTTTGTTTCATCCTCTGGGATCTACGATGTAAAGTGTATTAAAGAAAATTAAATAATGCTGGTTTGATAACACCTTAGATGATTAATTCAGCTTTAAAATTCTGTTTTATTACAATATACGCAAATTCATATCGGCGCTGATGTTTTTTTTTCTTTCTTTCTTTTTCTGGATTGATGTCAAGTTGTGTTAAGAAGCAGCAAGTCTGAAGGGGGGGATTTCACTCTAATCGCTTCCAAGTCATATGATCAACCGTGAAGAGGTTAGTCGGGTTAAGCTGAGTCAAGCTGGTTTCAATTCGACACATCATGACAGGAAGTCGAGATTATTAGAGCCTCACACTGTATCTTGCTGGTGTGCTACGAACGTCCATATAGGTAAATTACGTCCCCAGATTGAAATTACCATAATAATTAAACCCATTTATAACTTTAAGTCAATGAAAGCCATGCTGCTTTTTTATAAATATTAATTTCATGAAAAAAAATGTATTGGGTTAATAGGTCCTCGTGTTTACAGAGTAGTTCCCAACATTTCTGGGTTTGTGGTCCCTTAAAATCAAGCGACTGCGCTGTATTTTTGTGTATTATGGGTAAAACTTGTGTGACTTCGCTTTTGAAACATCCAATGATAAAAGACAACATAAAATCTATTTTCAGACGTTATATATGTTCATCGGATAATCATAAAATTATTTTATTTCTTTACATTTTTTTATTTCAGCTGTTTTCTGGGTATTTTACAGCAATCTATGCGAACATGTAAAATTTAATTTAATAATTGTAAAATTCTACTACCGAATTTTTACTTGAGTAAATGTCCTCCACTGGGACCAAACATGCACAGTTTCGTAAACTACAACCAATAAACACTTTGAATACTCTTTTTTTTGTCAGGGCCCAAACGTTTTACTTTGAAACATTTAACCGGAAGCCGTGTTGGTTCACTGCCCGCAGCTTGACGCCGGCCCACCAGCCTCCCAGGCTGAACCTCCCATTAGACGGAGACATGGGACTGTGGAGTCACCCAGGAGGGAGGGAGGGAGGGAGAGGAGAGGGGGGGGGAGAACTCTTCTCCACAACAACCAAAACCAAAGGAAGGAAACTACATCGAGCTGAAGATGTTTAACGGAGCCGCTGCTTCTTCACCTGCGTTTCTCATTTCTTCTCAGTCTGGCAGCGGAAGAGACGATCTAAATGACAGCTGAAGTTATCCGCGCGTTTCTCACACCTGCGGCACGCGGCCACACCTTCGCCTAGCGCCACAGGTAGGACGAAAAAAACACTCCTGGCTTCTTCACCGGCTCTTAATTCACTTTGAAGAGTGTTATGAAGTGTTGCGGATGCTTTACTAAAGGTTTTATTGTTTTTAAATGGTGAATGATGTCTGCCATATGGCGTCAGCCCGCTTGGAAAAACGAAGAAATGCTTTGATAAAAGTTATATATTTTACACAATAACGGTAGTCATGAGAATACTTGGAATACGTGGTGACTTCACACACACACACACACACACACATTCTATCCTGCACGAGTAGCCTAAGGCTACTTTTAGGTTTTGTACCAACAATGGAGATGTGTCTGTACACCTGTTGTACACCTGTTGTACACCTGTTGTACACCTGGGAAAAGGTATTAATAGACACAGTGAAGCGCATAGATGTATGTGGAGAATAATGGTTCGCCTGTTAAAATAAGCACCTGGTGTAGGTTAATCATTCAGATTAATTCTGATCACTTAATTAAGTGATTTGGATTCGAAACTGCCTCGACAAACTGACCTCCGGCGAATCACCGATCCCCAGAATTGTTTCCCAAACAAATGTGTGTGGATCTCACGGAAGGTAACGTGTATTTCTGTGAGAAGAACTGAAAGTTTCCACCTTGAGCCCACTCGTTGGTTTGGGGAGGGGGGGCCTGGGGGGGCCGTTAATGAGTGATCGCAGGGCTTTCCTTTGGTCGGTGAGTGGAGAGGAGGAGGAGCGGCCTTTAATCAGTTAACCAGGACCCGTGTCTGCGGCCTCGGGCTTTGTTTGCACACCCAACACGGAACTCTGCGCTGAACTTCAGGTCACTCAGGAGAGAAAAAAAAGGCACACAAACTGGTTCTGGGCCCCCGGAGTCTGTCCCTCTCGTGTGTACGACACTGGAAATGACCCCCCAACAGCAACGACGCGACATAAGAGTGTCTCTTTAAACGCTTTGCCTCACCTGTATTTTTAGTTTTTTTGTTGTTGCTTTGGGCAGATTTGAATAAACAACCTCGGGACACTTGATTCTCACCAGATACCGAGCTGCCGTTGGGCTAAACTCATTTGCCGGCCTTCTGTAGAAAACGCGCCCCCCCCCCCCCCCCCCCCCCCCATGTGACGCCTGTTTGACCAAACAATTCACTGAAAGCGTATGCAAACGCTGTTTGCCCGAGGTCTAGTTTGTCCGGCTCCTCTGCAGGGTGACGCCACCTGGAACAGGATGTAAACATGGAGCTCGGTGCTGCTCGGTTGGAACGAAACCGCGAAAATAAAAACCTTAAGCATCCCACGAGTGAAACACTTCAAAAACAAGCTCACTCCCTCTTTTTTATTTTATTTTTATAGTTATTGCACACCAATACATCGAGATTGGCTCTTGTTTGTTTGCTTAAAGTACAGTTCAGAGCTACTGGGTGGATTCACTGGAGGGGAGGGGGAGGGGGGGTGGACAGCAGGTCTGTTTGCAGTGTGAGAGGGGAGGGGGGGGGCTATTGATGAGTGTGGGCTGCTGGGTAATAGAGAAGAGACGGGACTTGTTTTTATCAAACTGCTCGCCCGAGGCCACGCGAATGAGGGTGTTTGGACCAATCACATTCAAGACGCAGAAGCGACAGGTGAACGAAACACTTCCTGCCTCGTCGTCTCACCTGAAATCAGAGGACGGTATTCGCTCACATCCAGCAGTTCGGACAGATCGGATCATTTTTTGTTAAAAGCGGCAGATCGAGCTTTAACAAGGGCTGACTTTATATAGATTGGTCGCCATGACAACCCAACGACGGCCTCGCTGGAATCGGACGGCTCGGGGGTCCTGGGCCTGCACTTCAAATCAAAAGTCCCATTCCGAGTTGATTTGGGTTGCATTTCCCTCCTGTCGAGAAAAAAAAAAAAAAGTCGAGCCGTTGAACGGCGACGCTGAACAGTGGCTCTTTGTGCGAGGCGCAGTCGAGAAAAGAAGAAAAAAAAGGTCGCACAATAACATCACTCACATGCACGGCTCGAGCTCTCTTTTATGGGGAGGCGTTATCAGTCGCGGGAGGTTATCTCACCAACCGAATATGCAGGTTATTAAGAGCCGGATAAAGCTGGTGGGGCGAGACGCGGTGCCAATTCTTTTTTCGGTCATTACGCAGACTTTTGAAATCGGTGTATTGACATTTCAGCGGGATTTTAAAAGCCCGCCAGCTGATAACGGGCCTAAATTGAGCAGCTTATCGAATGCTGCTGCTCTCTTCCTGCAGAGACATGCGAAGGCTCACCCCGCTCGCTGGTGACTTCGGGTAAATCCTGGTGATAATAGCTTCTTTTCTCTTCACTTAGTGTGTACACACACACACACACACACACACACACACGAGATAAAAAGCCTTGTGTTGCCCGGCCAAAAGGAATCCGGTTGTAGTTAAAGTTTAATCTGGCACCGGGAACAATAACCAGGAAACGTGATGAATTTAAACAAAGGACTATAATGTTTGTAATTCAGGGGGACATTAATTATTCATTTGTCTGTCTCTGTAAACAAAGATCATATTACAATTTAAGTACTGCAATCAACTTTCACAGCGTTTACTAGTAATCAGTTCCTGCAGTTAAACACCTTCACTCAAAGATGGCATTTTAAAAAGTCACAGTCATTGCTCCAAAAAGGCCATTTCCATTTGGAGGCATTTCATTACGGCTCCAACTGGAGATCTGTTAACATGCTCATTATTGGTTTTGATTAATCAATTTGGTGTGATCGGTTGGTTCAGAATGTCAAACGCGTTGGAGAAAAATTAAACCAGCGAAAAACAACCTCAAATTCACAATAAAGCTAGAAAAGCCATCTAGTCTTTTATAGTTTGTTAAAATCATCTACTGCCAGGACTTTTTTCCTCTCAGGTTTGTCCTTCTGAGCTGCTCAGCAGATGATTCCATCCTGAGAACCGCCGAGCTCCTGGATGAGAAGATTCGCTACGGAAATTTGGGCGGACGTGAACGAAACAAACTGTATATACGACAAAAAAGATGAAGGCACAGTACACAAAAACAACCTAAAAGTCAGACCGGTTGGCCCACTTTCCCATCGTCTCATGTCCCCACATGAAGACCGTCTCCCTTCTCGCCGCCCCCGTAACACGCACACCGGCCCAGTGGGTGTCGAGCCATGTAGCGCCGGCTCGGGTCGTGTTTGTGAATATCCAGACACTGGAAAGAAAATGGATTTCGGTGATGTGTTCGCCAACCTCGTCCACTTGGAGGTAGTTTCAGCGCGTCGGCGCCGCTAAAACGACACGTATATCCACGCGCTGGTCGCGTGGAATAATACCGCACAGTAACAAAACTCTCCACAGGTAACATCAATCTCAACTGCACCCCGTCCAGTTCATTTTTAGTTTCCTATTTTCCCGGATGAAATTTTACACCTGCAGCGATCGTTCAAAGAAAACGACTCGGCCGCCGGCTCTTCCGCCCCCCCCCTCCGGGATTTCAATCCAGTGCCTCCTAGGGGACACTCAACAGCAATCTCACTTTTATTGGACCTGTTCCTCCAAGATGAAATGTTTCAATTTACTCCGGTGCCTCCTCATAAAAACCAGAGGCCATGTGCAATGCATCGAAGGAGCAGACAGCGTGCAGCTACTGTCGGCCAACAATGGCCCAAATCAGGGCGAATGATCCTTTTGATGGACAGATTGAGTCCCCTTCGGGGGGGGGGGGGGGGTGGGGAGGAGGGGGGACCAACATGACCGGCCCTTTTGGATCCCAGCTGCTGTTCTTTGTATTTTTAGTTTTCTTTAGTTAGTTACTCAGGGAACCAATCGACGGGTGAACTACTGGCCGAGGCCGTTTTAACTGAAATGTCTCCCGGCGGGTTCAGGTCTCAGATTTTGAGTCTGGCCACGTTAATACCTTTAAAAAAAAAAGCTCACTCCTCACCCCGCTCTCCTCCCCTCCGGTGGCGCTGCACACTCACACTGGCCGCATTTGCATTGCAAACTCGCCACCCGACTCCACGCCGATGCGAACCAGCTTTTTCCCAGGCGGTTCGGCCCGTGTGGCGCTTACAAACCCGCGTCTAAATCGCGCAGTTCAACATTTCTAGGAAGCCGGAAGGATCTGGTTTTGTTCGTATGTCTCTAACCTTCTTGTGCCCACGATCATTTTATCAAGACATACGAGTCATTTAACAGGAAGTAAGTTGTTGCTTATTTGAAACATCTTCCTGTCACGACACTTAATAAACACTGAAGCAATTCAGTGGGTAGTTCTGTCACATGGTTAGGGATCGTGTATTTCAACAAATAGACATGCAGGATTCTCCCCAAAAGAAATTCAAGCGTTCTGCGAGCACATTAAAGCCGCCCCGAGAGAGAATAGAGAGCAGAAAGCAGCACATCGGTGAGATGTATATACATAATGCCGCCGCTCAAACGAGAAACGGCAGCAGGAGGGAGAAATCAGTGCGAGAGGATGGAGAGCTTCGCCTCCTCGAGCGGGACCAGTTATAGTGAAAGTCAGCAGATAGCGACTTTCTATCAGGACTTATGCAACGCCCCATTAATGCCACGGTCCCCGACGCCCCGCTGGGAAATTACCTCCTCACAGTCCGGGGAGACAAGGCACACGTCACCTGGGTGGGTGCTTGCCGGTGCGACAGAGTGTAAAACAGGCTCCTCTATTTGAAGCGCAGCCCGTTTTGCACTCGGCACCCCTCTCGGCTGATTGAGAAGTGGCCGTGGGTCACAGCCTGGTTCATCTGAAATCACAAGGGGGGTTGGGGGGGGGGTCTCCATGAAGGAGGAAGGGTGGATGGAGGACGAGCTGGAAGACGAGAGGATTTGGACTCTTGTGCTTTACCGACTCTGGCTGTGTTTTGATGGGGGGGGGGGGGGGGGGGGGTGTCGTTCACAGGCCTGCTCACGGTATTGCCTGTAATGATGAAGCAACGCAGTGGGTGCATCTTTCATATATATAAATATGTAAACATTATATATATAGATTTTTTTATTATTTATATATATATATAGATTTTTATATATATATATGTATTTTATATATATATTCTCATCACCTATGATAATGAAGTTTAACTTTAACACAAAAAGTCTTGACGTCCTCAATAGGGATTAAATCAAATCTGACACGGTAACGATGTTTGTCGTCAGGTAGAAAGCACCAGACTTTGTAATGAAATGTGGCTGCAGACAAAACGTATTGCACTCACACGGCTCTGTTGAAAAGGTAAAACGGAGAGGCCCGCGGGGTCAGAGGGTCAAGGTAAAGAATAGAAAGCGTTTTGTCTTCCACGTCCTTGCTTTTATTCCCACAAAGAGACACTGTCTCCTCCGCTCGCAGACAAACCCATTCAAGTCCCGGTGATTAATTATTTACCCGGGCCACGAAATGCCAAAGCAGAGAGAAACACACCGCCGTCCCGCAGGTACACACACTCTCACACACACTCACACACACACACACACACACAGAGTGATTGATGGCAATAACATCTTTATCGAGGCTGCGAGTTTTTTCGCCCAGGTGTCGAAAGGGCCGGATGAGGAGAAAACTTTCACGTGTCCGAAATGTCCAATCAATAGCAGCCAGGGACTCCGTCAACCTTTTAGTGGGACGTCTGTGATTCAAGTTTTAAACGTCTTTGCGCTTGTCCCTCCGCAGCTCCACGACACCGGCGGCCAAATGGGGGGCCAATGCTGCAGGGTGATAAAAAGGTGAGTCATCCGCTCCTCTCCTTCTTTGGTTTCATCCTACAATCAGTCAACGCCGTCACTCCGGTCGGCACACAGAGCCAGAAAAAAAATGAATAGTCACGCACCACGAAGCCCAATTCAGAAGCGGTTGAGTCACGGCGTTGCCGCCCCGGATAATGAGACGTAAACGTCGTCCCGGATACCCGATTCATTTGACTCAGCGTCGGCTTGGTATCAGCGCTGAGTCACCGGCAAAAAACTACACTGATGGTCGTCCCCGTCGGCCTCAACTGTAGCAAATGCTACCATGCTAACACACGGCCTGCGTTAGCATTGTTAGCAGGCCGTGTGTTAGCGTTTAGCTCGTGGATGAACTGTGGACGGTTTAATAAAAAGGTTCTCTCTCGAAGCGGCTGTTTTTCAGATGTAATATTTAAACCCCCGCTCTGTTTTCTCTGCTCCACCCCCCCTCGGATAAAAGCCCGTCCCTCGTAGATTTCCTCGGGGGGGGGGGGCGATTCAAATCCTCCTCGACCACGCTGAACGATTTCTTGTCTGGTTGCGCGCAGATGGCGAGCGGCTCATTGACAACGCGTCCGTGCTCTCGGCCTCACGTGGGCCCTTTTGTGCAAACCGGGAGTCAATATGCCGATAGCCGTCACCCGCGGTTACTGTATTTCCCGCCAGCGCTGTCTCTTCACGGAAGCCTACAAAAGGCATCGTAGTCTCGAAGGCGGCAGAGAAACGACATTTTGATTGCAGGTTAAAGAAAAAGGGCGACCCTGTAATACGCATACCAGAGTCGTAATCCCCCCTCCACATTTTCTATTTCTTCTTACCACGTCAGAGTGAACACACACACACCTTCCTAATGGTCTGCCGTGTCACATTTCTGGGCTTAGTTGTGTTTGTGGTTTGGCAGTCTGGGCCTGTGGGTTACTGGGTCAGCAGCGAGGCCTCGGCAACCCGACAACTTTCAGGCTTTATTTTGAAAACCGGTAATTATTATATTAACTTGAAAGAATCTCCTCCTATGTCTCATTTTGCCTTTTTTGACCTGGTCCCCCCTGCGGTAAGCAGCATCTTCTCCGGTGCACCGTCGCAGTTAAATAATATGCAAATGACGGCTCGCGATGACTCTCCTTCTCAAACAACACGCAGCAGGAAGGGAATCCCGACGGAGACACTAGAAACTCCCCCCGCCGCCGAATGCAAAGACCGGTCGAGGTAATCAAATTAGAGCCGCTGCTTCAGTTTGGACCCGACAATCACGTCAGAGACGAATAATATTATCAAGCATGAGTCTTTCCTTTGGAAACTCCTGTTATTGATGGAAGCACGGTTTCATTTTCGCTCTCCTTCTTCCCGGCTTGGCGTGTGTGTTTTGTCTGTTTGCCTCAAATGTCACCTCGGCTCGGCGGCGCTGCCCAGGAGCGAGAGACATGGACAGCATTCATTTCCTCAGCTTTCCACTACGAAGGGAAGAGAGAAGGATGCAAGGAGAGAGGGAGCGAGAGGTGCTTAAGTCAGAGGCTGAAAAAAAAAAAGACTATTATCGAAGAAATCCATCTGAGTTCCTGTGATGTACATGGATACCAGAGGGGGGGGGGGGTTAGGGGGTTGTGGAGAAAACAAATAAAAAGGGACGGGTGAGAGAAAAGGAGCGAGGCCGACGCAGCGGGCGATGGCTGACAGCAATAAAGCCGGCGTGCCAACGGCCCTGATGGAGGTCCGAGCTCTTGTGTTCCGTTGTGAGAAAGAATCTCTTTTTTTCTCCCGGGCATTGCAGCCGATCAGGGGGCCAAATGAGCATTAATTAGCCTCTGACGCGTCTCCTTTTGTTTGCTTTTTGTGCTAAAATGCCCCCTTTCGCACTCAGCGGGGTCCGCTGCTCAGACGAGCACGTAATCAGCTCCCCGTTCGGCTTTCGGCGCCGTTTGCCGAGCATGTTACTGTCATTTGTGCTGTCGGGTGTCTTCTCACAGCCGGAGGCCCGACGTGAAGCGAAAAGATACGTCGCAGGTTCATCCCAATCCTCTCCGTCTGTCTCCCCCCCACAGCTACGTCTACGAACCCTCCGAGGCGGTGGACGGGGGGAAGTCGGACTCGGCGGCGAGCTCGCTCTACCAGCCGCACCACCTGCCCGGCGGCGGCATCGGCGACCCGCCCGGCGGCCTGGGCAAGCAGAAGGAGGGCTTCAGCAACCTGGGCTACAGCCGGTCCAACAACAGCACGCTGAAGCTGGAGGTGGACAACAACCACGTCAACCACCGGCTGCACGCCGCACATCCGCCCGCCAGGGAGCCGGAGGACAGGCAGGCCAGCGCACCGCCCGCGGACGGAGGCGTGTACATCATCCAGCCCGCCGGCCCGAGGTGGGCGGCGCAGGACAACGGGCCGAGCCAGGTGCCGGTTTACCCCGAAACGCGGGAGCACGAGCGCCGAAGGGGCCGCGACGACAACGGGTGGGGCCGCCCCGCCGGCGACGGGAGCCTGTCGGCGGACGAGGGCGTGGGGGGGACGCCGGAGTACCTGTGCGACACGGGGGACGAGGGCAGCGTGCTGTCGGTGGAGATCCACACCAGCACCACCAGCCTGTCTTCGGCCGACACCAGGGACGAGCTCAGGCCCCCCAAGACCCCGGACGTCTCCACCGTGGAGAGCGGGATCTCGGTGATGAAGAGCGAGGACGAGGAGGAGGGGGAGGAGCTGCACAGCGTCACAGACTCGATGGTGGCGGAGGCCCTCGCCGCTTTGGAGGCCGCCACCGCCGGGGAGGACAGCGAGTGACGAAACCCCCCCCCCTGCCCCCACCTCACCTCACCTCACCTCACCTCACGGGACACGTTCAAAGACCACAGAGTTCTGATTTACAAGCAGAAAGTGGAACGAATGAAGGAAAACTGCTGTTATTTTTGTTTATGCTTTCGTCAGCTCCGACGTATGAAGGACGCCACTTTCCCGACGCCGACACTTTTTGTGTCGCGTGTGTTTCACACTCCACGGCCTTAAACGGGCCTTCACGTATCCGCACTGCCCTCGTAGGGGTCTCATCACGTTTGCTTCATCCCGGGGCGTCGCCACGCCGACGGAGCGCACGTTTCCTCGGTTCTTGCCGTAGCTCGCCGCCTCTCTCCGAGAGTCTCGCCCTCGTCCCGCTGAGCCGACGGGAGAAGAAAAGGTCACGTTTTCTTTTCTTTTTATACCCGCGTTTGTGTCTCTATTCCGCGTCTTCCGCTGTTATTTATAATATCGCCGCACCGCCTTCGCTTTGTTGTGAGAAAAGGAACCGGATGTTATTTATGAATCTGTCGTCGTTGATTTATTCGGGATCAAACGTAATGAATATCGTGTCAACTTAAAATAGTTTTTCCGCAGGTTACTAAAAGGAAGATGCGCCCCCCCCCCCTCCACGTTTCACTGATTGATTCAATGACATTTTTACGTTTTTACAGTTTTTCATCCACGGCTGAACCGTGAGCTTCACTAGACCAGTTGACGTAAAATGATTGGCGATTAAACCTTTTTTTTAAATCCATTTCATAGGTCAGGTGTTGTGCCCATGACATTAGTTCACTCGCGTCCCTTTGGACGAACTAATTGAGGCCAGCCGGTGCGAAGCGACGAGTGCGTTAATGCTAAATAAACCGTCCAATGAGGTTCTGGATGCCGCCTTTTCTCTCATTATTTGCCCGCCAAATCCTTCCTAAATATTATATTTGTATTGTAAAATAAAGGAAAGCACTTTTAAAAAAAAAACGGTGCACTGTGAGGTTCTTTGTGTACCGGCGTGTGATGATTCATCCTCGTGTGGACTTAAGAAGGGACTTTGGGACTGTGCAGAATAAATAGAGGCCGCTGCTAGCGAGTGAGCTAACGTTAGCCGTGCTCGGCTGTATTTCGGAGACATTTACAACCGACTCGCTGTGTCACTAACGACTAGTGAGAAGCGTCATGTTGCACATTGGTTCAAAGTTGCACTTGAGGAGTAAAATTCAATCTTTGCAGTGGTTCTGTTGTTACAATCCACTGGTTTTGACGCTGGTGTGTCCTTGAAAATGGATTTTTTTTTGTTCAGCTCATTTCTTCATCCGTGTTTACGGGAGCTTCCCTCCCTCTTCGCAAACATGTGCGATCGCCGCGGGACTCTTGGTGTTTAAACCGTCGCTGTCGCGAAGCAAACACCTCCTCGGCCCCACCGGGGGCCCCCGGGGCCTCGGCTAATGAACACCTCGGGGGAGGGGGGGGGGGGGGGCCGCTTGGAAAAAATCCACACAAGCTTACGGATCCCAAAAAGACATACCTTGTGTAAATAAATGTGTGTGACTGATTTCAGGGCCCTCGCAGCAGGAGAAGGCCCTTAGTGGGTCCGTTTCCCTGCAGGAAGGCGAACGGAGCCCGTGGCGATACCGAAAATTAGCCCCTTTTCCTTGGACATTTAGGACATTTATCTCACCCACTTCTTTCTATCTTCATCCCTCTCCCTAATTGCTCGCCATGAGTCTCACAATTACAGTGTGCTCCTTGCAAGTGTCTCTCTACGTTGTTGTCGGGAAGACAAGCAAGAAGGTTTGATTCTCCTGAAGAAGATGCATTTGTCTTCAGCAGTCTTTGGTCAAATTGTTTGTATTTTAAAAGGTTTTTCCCTGTTTTTCATTAAATCCCTGTTGGTTTCATGTCACATGAGGCACGGTGCCACCTGACGGTTTAACCCGCCACGAGGCGTTTGTGTGCGTGTGTGTGTGTGAACGCACTCAAAGTTTAGCATTTCATCCTAAATGACTGGTGGGTTCAGTGGATCTGCTGCTCAGTCAGCAGTCGAATCACAAGCCGGTAGAACAAACGCTCTCATTCTTCGCCACCGACTTCTTCCTAAAGCGACGCCGCTTCTCGGTTCAACAAGTCGCGTATTCGCCAGCAGCGTAAACAGCCTCGCCGTTATACTTTAAAGTTAACAGATCCGATCACGCAACCTATGACGCATGTTTGTGTTCCTGAAGAGGCTCTGAATCTGCTTTTCTCGTTACGAGGTCGGGAAGTCACACCTGCACCAAAGAGGGTTTGTCTTGAACCAAATGAACAAACAACCTTTCCGTACGACAACAGGATCAAAACCAGTGACTCACCTTTTCATCAATACACCGTTTATTTCCGCGTGAAGCGGTTCTGGGGTTTTGTGCGTCACCAGATTACTTTGATCCTTCAAAAGAGAGACACACACAGAAAGGTGGATTTTCTGTGGACAGAGATGAATACGCAGCAGCTCGGGGTTTGTTTTGCAGGAAGGTACGGAGGTTTGAAAAGGAGCGTTCATTTGAATACGGGATGGTCATGCTGAACCATGTTGGTTGGGGGTCTCCTTCAAAATAAAAGTCCCTTTAAGTAACGCAACTTTGTGTAGCACCTGCATCCATGTTTTCCATCAGAATGGTCTCCGCATGTGCTCCTTTCCGCTTATTTGAAAAGCATCTTAGTGGACCACGAGCTGCAGATCCACGTTGGACTGAAAGGAAAATTCTCTCAAAACATAAACACCATAAAAACATTGTGTTTTCAGCTAAATACCGTTGCAGTTATAACGCCTTACGGCCCCAATGAAAGGCAGCCCTGTGTTGTCAAAAGGAAAGTAGACTTTGTGATTTATCTGAAGGGCGTTGACAGTGTCACGAGCCTTTACGGGTCAAGAAGCATTTAACTCATTCGAGTCTGGTATTAGTCTCTCGGGACTTTCTGTCATGTCTATCCTTTTATTTTCCTTTATCCTGCCACGCTTCCATTCTTCAGACCTTCATCGAGACCAATGTTTGAACGAGTGGAATCTGAAGGTTTTATAATGACGCACACGGGCCGGAGCTTGCAAAGTCCTCGTGGGAAACGTTGTTCCCGATCACAGCGCGCCGCTAAAAATACATCAAAATCTGAACAACAGCAACAGATAAACTGAAGCGGTCATCTGCGTGTTGGGACCTGTGGAGCATCCCAATGCATTTGTCCCAGGTGTGCTGGATTTGAAAAATCAGAAACACATAAACAGGCCATAATGTGAGACTTCATCCGACGTCCTTGTAAAGATCAGAGACGATGCATTCATGTGAATTCATTAATACTTAAATTGATTTAAAAGCACAAATGGGACCAAAGACGACCCCCCCCCCTCGTATGAAAAGCTCTCCACCTTTCCACCCCGTTTAGTGTGTAAGTTCCCTCTCAGTATCTCGCGGTAAGCGATTCCTCCCACGCCGGCTCCAGATAACAGCTCCCAAGTAGCTCATTTGTGCCACAATCCAGCCGTGCGTTGACTGCGAAATAAAGAGCAGATTCCTTCATGTTGCCTTTACAGGCCCAGTGTACAGCAGCGTCCCCCCCAGGGAGGGGGGGGGGGGGGGGGGGGCGCCTGCTATGTTTGTTTTTCTCAAGGCTTTGTTGAAGTTAATGATGTCACCCTTAATTGTGGGACACACACACACACACTTCCTTGTCTCAGTGGGATTGTAGGGTTTTATTTAAAGAGGAATCATACACCTGCGACAGGATTATTCTGTGTTCTCTCTGGTTAAATATTAAACCTGTAAACCGATTTTGACTCAGCGGGGAATGCTGAAACAACAAAGCTGGGGTGGGTGGTGCGTTTTTGGCTTCATTTGGGTACAAAAAAAAAAATCCACAACCACTTTTCAGCATGTAATTTGAGTGCAAAAAATATACACCTGCTCTCAGCTCTGTGAGAGGGCTCTTCCCATTGGCTGGTAATACTTAATCCTCTAGGGGGAGCCAGATTCAACAGCGCAATATCCTGCAGAACTTTTGGACTATAAGGATTCTGATGATACAGTCAACGGGTTTCAACAGAGAGAAAGTTTGCTCTTAAATGTTTTTAAATTAATCCCCCCCCCCCTTTTTTTTAATACACACACACACACACTTTAACGATGGAAAGCAGATTTGTTTTCCGTTTATGTTTTTGGGGACGAAGACTCTGCGTGGGGGGGGGGGCTGGGGGTTGAGCCAATTTCACAAGGTCACTGCGTTCGAGGGGCTAAAAGGTGTTAAACATTTGACTAGACTCCCTCTCCTCCAGCACCAACGTATTTCTCCACCTGAGGCAGAGCTCCATTCTCTTTGTCCGACATCCCAGGGACGAAGATAAGACGTGGGCCACTTAGCCTTCCATCGGCATGGGACCCTGATGACTCAGGCCTCCGTTCACGAAGTCACGCAAAAGGGACGGAACGGAGCTTTAATGTCACCCAAACCGCTTTCGTGCCTTTATTTTCCCCTGTGGAATTTTCCTCGCGTGGCTTCGACGCGGCGTGAGAAAGAGGCTGAGCGGAGCGAGAGAGGCTAAAGTAAACACGCGTGCATGCGACCGGAGTCAATGTTTGCACCGCGCCTCTCCTGCAGACAGTCAACCCCCCCCACAGGTATACAGTGTGTGATTAAATGACAGGTTTATCTTTTGGTTTGACATGAATTAAGAGATCTTTATTCATTTTACTATAGAAACACAGCAATCTGTCCCAAAACGTAAAGCACAAATACATTTTATTTCTTTTTTAAAAAGAAATTAGGCACAATGCAAAGACATCCAAAAAAAACAACATGGTTAAAATGATGTTTTGAACATCTGGGGAAGATGATACAGAAGGATGATCAGCTCATGATGGTGTTTAAACAGATACTCCAGCAAGTTAGTGTTACACTTCCGTAATGGACATTAGACAGGTATTAAAAACAGGATGATTTAAAAATAATGAATTCACTTTCCTAGTCGTACGTTTCTCACGATGCATCTTTCCGTGAGACGTTCTCTGCTTGGTAACGGTGGACAGCAAAACGAAGCTAAAAGAAGAGCGAACGGCGCCGCTCAAAAACTACTAAAAAAAAAAGAAACTGTGAGTGTGTTTTAAGATATTTAGTTATGCGTCTTCGGGGTGTAGTTCAATCAACCACTCGACAAAAACATGTAAACGCACACGCACACTTCACCTCAGAGCCCCAGGTTCAGGCTTCCTTGACTTTAAGCCGGCGCCGTGCCCGCTGTGGCTGCGCGACACTCTCGCCGCCATCGTCCCTCCACCCCCGCGGGCGGGGGACGAACTCGGAAGGCACGACTCCCCCGGTGGACTTTGCTCCTCCACCGCTGATGTTTGTTTCAAATGTCCTTGTTTTTGAGTTTTGTCCAGATGTTCGTCTTCTCGCCTCTGGACCCTGCGGATCGCTATCTTTTATCTTCAGCCAAGTTCTCCGTCTGCTCCTGCGGAGGGAAATAATACAGAAAAGGATGAGAGAGAGTTTTTGGGTGAACATTGGTGACAGGGAGAGTATTTATACACAACAAACAAAGCCTTCACAGCATCATGTTGTCTCACACATGCACAGCTCCTGCTGCGGGGTTACTGGTGTTGTGTAATGATGCACGACTTATGAAGTATCGCTGCCTCTGTTTTCTCACAAGCCTAAACTAACACTTTTATTTCTATTTAGTTTTAAATCTGCATTTTTTCATGCAAGTGATGTTTCAAAATGACTGACAATGTCTAAATGTACTTTTTTTCCGGGGGGGGGCGGAATCTTCTCCGAGCTTGCAGACAGTAAATGGAGGTCACATGGAGCATCGCACATTCATGACCAGAGCTCCTTTTATGTGAACAAGAAAACAGCAGACTGGAGGCAAATTAATGCGTCGGTTGGATATTTCAGCACCTCTTTCATCACCAATACGTCAACACGTGTTGAGCTATAATCACGTTCACTTCTACAGCTGCATTTACCGTGACGTTGTTTGTGACATATCTCAGGCAATCAATTATACAAATTGTCTAATTAATTATCTAAATCCAGCTACAGAATTGCTGATGATTGCTTATTTTTATTATTAGATGACGGTAAACTGAGCAAATTCATAAAACAGGACATTCACACAGAGAAAAGTCACACTAATGATATATTATTAGATGCGTTTCACTTACGTCATTTTATAGACCACCAAATTAGGCTTGAGAAAATATATTACATTATATATATATATATATATATATATATATATATATATATATATAAAAAAAACAGTGCTAAATGTCGTTTGCCCTTGTCGACCGATGCGTGAAAAGGCAGAATGCCACTGGCTTGTAGCACAGGAATGCACGTATGACCAGACGTACTCCTGCATGCATCACTGTTTCGGCGGGACGCGGATGAAGGTTTTCCAGGGTACAGACCTGCTGGGACTCTGACGTCGTCCGGCTCTCGGGCGCCGTTGCCGTGGTAGGCGTGGACGGCACGCTGCCGTTGGAGTCTGTAATCAGCATCGAGCGCCTCTCCCTGGTCGGCTTTTCACACTTTGTCACCCGGAACCTGAAGAAAAAAAAAATCTTTTTTTTTTTTTTTTTTCTGCTGGGTCTGTGAAATGATAACTGGAAACACTCAAGAGCCGGCTCGTTAAAACAAATTGCCACTCGTACTTTTTGCTGTTGCATATTTACATCATGAGCAATATAAATAACGAGCAGGAAATCGTCCTTTTAATGAACAAACCCAGCGGGGGGGTCAGCTAGTCGGATCTGTGCCACAGCGGGGAATCGTCGCGTGTCTTCTCACTGATAACACCCAAACAAACACGCTGCCTACGCGGCCCTAACGGTTAACACCGCCCTCATCCACCCACCCCAACCACCCAAAAAGACACTTGCGGCGCGCGCGCACCAGCTTTAATTAAATCGGAAAATTAATGTTTTGTATGCAGGTCATGCAGACACTGTGCGTATGCAGCCCAGTCATCTGGGCGACCTCTCTGCATCCCGATGAGCTCGTGGCGGCACATCGAGGATGAGGAGAGCGCTCGCTGCGGGACGTGGACGACAGCGGGTTCACTGCTGGGCCGAGGAGCGCTTTCTAATAGTGGCAGCAGGTTTTAAAAAAGCCCCCAACACTTTGTTGTTCCTGCTCGGCGCGGCGACTTTCCTCGTTTGCGGTGGAGTCCGCCGCGCCCGTGTGTCGGGTTGCGATGACCCTTCACGGGCACGAGGGAGTCCCCCCCGTTTTCACGAAGCCGCTGCCGATGCAAACAGAACATCCTGTCGCAGCAGCGCCGAGGACTGCGCTTTTCCGACAGCGATGTAATGATGTATTCAGACTGGGAGGTTGCCGTGGATTGACTTTTAGTAACCATCAGGGTCTCAGTGCAGGGAGGACCTCTCCTGTTGAATGCATTGTGAACAGGGGGGGAGGGGCCTGTTGCCATGGAGCACCGGCTCCGCAACATTGGTTCACAGCGCTGACACAAGAAAACACCTTACTCCGTCCGAACCCTGAGGCACCCGGGGGGGGGGGGGGGGGGGCGGCGGGTGTGTCAGATTTTCAGATTTCTTGCAGATTCTTCCAGGACACCCGATGCGACCGAGCAGAATACTTCCAGACCCAAACCTCGGCACCAGGCAAGTCTCTGGACCGTCTATCCACACGGCCTCTCCCCCACAGAAAGGGGGGAGAGAGAAAGGAAATAAACATGCTGGATTCATCCTCACTCCTCTTCTGCCGTCAGCCCGCCCTCTCCGCTTATCTCGGCGGCCCAAAAAAAAAGCAAAGCGACGACGTCTAATCTCGGCTCGTGCCGTCAGCTGCGGTTGTCGTGACGCCGGCTCGTCTCGGAGAAACGAAATCAATCCCCGGAGGTCGATGCGAATGCCGGCCTCCCGATTCAGGCCGAGACCGACTGCTTTGCGTCAACGCCGTCGAGCTTTAGTTGCGCCTGTCGAGCGTGTGGAGCTGCCGGATCCGAAACTGTGATCAATGCGTTTGCACTCGTCGGAACGGGGGAAACGGTGCTTTAAGACTGAGGACGGGAAGATGATAAGACAAGGAGGCCCCCGCTGTACAGTCAGCTGATGATCCGCGTGCGGGAATGAGGAAACATCACTGCGTTTAATAATCAGTCACAACTCGTCTAACTAGATCAACTCCATCCTTCATGTAAAGTCTCAGGCACAACGACACCAACGGTTTCTTCACTTTATCTCTGTGTTCTGGCAAATAATCCAACAACTGTGCCCAATAGGCTTTAATGATTACCCTCAATACATTGATGCGGGACACTGCGGCATTCTGGGAGGGGGCGGGGTGGGGGGGGGGGGGCGCTCCCCAGCTGCTCGCCCCCCATCAGACCGTGCCAATCTGCAGGAAGCATCGGAAGAGAAGTGTGGCCTGATTGCCTTTTGTGTTCACTTCCTGCTCTGGCCAATCTCATTCCACTGAGCCCCCCCCACTACCCCCCCTCTCTCCCTCTCTCTCTCTCACAAGGAGGCTTACGCCGCCATCTGGTGGTTGAGATGGACGGGACACTTACCCATCGGAGTCTATGCTGTTCTCATGAACCATGGCTTTCAGGGCGTCGGAGTTTGCTGAGGAAAGAGAATCACACAGTAATGCAGATTAAAGGAAAGAGGGGGGTGGGGGGGGGCACAGTGCTCGATTGAAAAATGGTTACACCCAAATAACTCCCGCGACCCAATTAAAACACTCACAGAGCACGGCTACTGCACCGGATAACCTCAGGAGGACGTGCCAGACCATTTAAAAAAAAAAAGACTCCGAGGGGCGATTTTGAAAAAGTGTTGCGTCTGTGATTTGGCACAGGGACATCGTTTGCTTTTTTTTGGAACAGTACGTGAAGACAAAGTAGCCTCGACACAGACACAACCGCTCGGATGTGGATTTACATAATTTGCTCCCGCAGACAGATTTCCCAGAGGGCGCGGCGCGGTGCATCCAGCGACTTCACCACAGGCGCCTCTTCAGCGCGTCCGAAATGCATCCATCCTCTCTTCTCACCCACCACAAGAAGCATCCCCGGCAGCCGCTACACATTTTTGGGTCCAAAAGTATTTTTTGCATTATTACTTTTTTTTTTTTAATCATTCAAAAAAATAATTTAAAAAGTTCACGGCGTATTGATGCTGCATGGACGACCAACGAGGAACGAGACGACCGCTGTTCCTCGCTGGTCACTTGTCTATTTATACGCCAACTGCTTGCTGGAAATGACTCACTTTGTTCCGCGTGGTTATTTCCGGGAAAAATACCTGAAGGTACGAGCGTCTCGCAACGAGGAAGCTCTTTCAAGCGTGTTCCGGTAGACACTTACAGTCCCCGAGGTTCACTCCCCAAAAGCTGAGTCAGCGCGAAGGAGGACAGAGGACAATGGTGGCCAGACGGGACGATGCAGCGGGTTAGTCACCGGGCGATACTCGCAGACAAGCCGGACCTGTTGTTAAGATTGTTATCGGCGAGGATTATTGGCAAACCTTCACCCCCTTATCTAAAATAATCCTTATACAAACGTTTAATGAAAAATAATACATCATTAAACATCATTCAAGGAAGTTTAAGCAGATATTTTTATTTTGGTCAACAAGTATAATCTCTTCTATTTTATATTCTATATTCTTACAGCTGTGTTTTGTCATATTGTTGTTTATTATGCCAAGAAAAGCTTGACGACATATTTAACATTTATTTCGCTCTCGATGTGCACAACCATCAAAATCACCCCAAACTCCCCTTCAGACAAACTGAAATCAAACTCAACATCGAGCGTCGAGCAGCCGGGTTTCAGCGGCACGTCAGCGCTGCGGGCGGGCAAATGGAAATCACGGCATATTACTGTAATCTCCCCTCACGGGAAAAGGCCCGTGTTATTCTAGCGAATGACCCGTTGATCCTTCGCTTTCCTGTTGACGCTCCCCAACGGACGTTATGGACTCAAATGACCCCGGTTTGAGCAGATGTGGACAGAAGCTGCTCCAGCTCAGGCTCAACGGTTCAAACTTGCAAGAATAAAAGCGCTGGTTCAACCGCCGAGACGCACTCCCGGTACACAACCGCAGCAAAAGTCCAAACCGTTTGGGCGAAAAGTGCGAAAAACAGCTTGGTTGGATGCATTTGCTGCTCTGTGCGGTGCGCACGTACCTTCGTTTTTCATGATGTAGTGGACGATCTGGCCGACGGTGTCGTTGTTTTCACTCAGGGTGTCATTCATGTCTGCAAGGCGAGCAGAGAAACACACGCGCTCAGTGGTCGAAAGTTATTATACGCTGCTGCAGCAGCCGGTTAAAAGCAGGTGACAAATATTTAGGCTGTATATTTTTGGAGAGCGGCACAGTAAAATAAACTAACCGGGACTCGTGTGTGTTGAAATGTGTGTGTGTGTGGGGGGCAAACATTCCTCAGGCAACCCCTGGAGGCCCCTTCATGGAAAACATGACGCCAGTAAACGATATTTCGAGAGAACCTGTTAACATCACAACTCGATGCTTCTCCCATTGGTCTCACAGTTTGACAATTATTTATCCGGAATGGGAAGAAAAAAGAAAAAAAAAAAGAGAGCGAGGAAACCCGATCGCTGTGCAACACGAGAAGAATGACAACCCGACCAGCTGAACACACGAGCTGGGATTGGAGGGGAAAAAAAAGAAAGGAGGGTTGGGCTCGTTGTAAAAAGAGGGAGGAGGAAACAGAAGGAAAAACCCATGATGGACCTTTACAGACAACCGATTCTTAAACATTAACACAGCAGCCCACAGCTGGATTTAAAGAGACTGAGGTCGGTCTAAGGGAGGGGGGGGGGTGGGGGGTTCTTGCGCAGCCAATCTCTCCGTTAGCTATTAGGGGTCATTCCCACCACGGTAGTCTGCTCTGTATCTGACATACGCCAAAGTCAACGCAACTGTTCCCAATTCCCAATTCCCAGCTTATTTTGCGACCAACCCGTCGGGACCTTCTCCTCCCGCCGCTTTAATCCCCGCTCTGTTTCCTTAGATTAACGGGACTATCGAGTCCCCTTTCCCTCACCTCCGCCCAGCTCGGGATCCTTCTCCTCCTCCTCCTCCACCTCCTCCTCGCCATGGTCGGTGGTGCACCGGTAGCCCTTCCTCTTCAGCACGTGGCAGATCACCACCCCCAGCAGGCCCAGCAGGAAGAACACGGGCACCAGGACGAAAGCGGTGTAGTCCGGGTGGCTCGACGCCGCGTCGCCCTCGCCAGAAACCGTCGTTTGGGTCCTCTAGAGGAGGAAAGGAAGGAAGGGAGGAAAGGTGATTACATAAGATATTGTTGCAACATCACAACAGCCTCCACGGCGACCTGATGCCCAACAGCTGAGGGATTTAAATGCTGCGACATGACAAGAGACGTCCCGCTGCCCTCCAGGATCCAAGGGAATAAAAAAGGGGGGGGGGGGGGGCAAAAACTGACATGGAGTCGAGACTAACCATTGCCGCGTTGATTACCTTCTTCATCTGCCGGTTTCTGAGTGATCAGTGCATTTCGATTTTAAACGGTGGACCTGATCCGGTCAAAAAAAAGGGAGGGGTGGGGGGGTCAGCTGGAGGGGGGCAAAGCGGCCCTCGATCACGCTGTTGACATTACATCGTGCAGCGGAATGCACAACGCACAGGAGGGCTTTTGTCCGTCTTCCTGTTCCCATCAGAGGGAGAGAGACACACACACACACACACGCACACAAAGACAGTTTGAACATAGAAATCACACATTCATGACGTTGGGAAAACGCGCTCTGTGGGCGTGTCTGCACTTCCGCCATTGTCCCAGTTCCCCCGACGCGTCGGACCGAACGCGCTAATAAAGACCATTGTCTGCTCTCTCTCGCCGGCGTGCGCGTCCACGTGCCTGCTTGGCTGGCGGGCCTTCCCGGGGAAGACAGACCGCCGATTGGCAAAAGGGTTGAATAGAATCATTACAAGTTTCCTCGCATGGCGCTCGTAGGTTCGGTTCTGATATTCGTGAGCAACGTCTGGGCTGCGTTGGGCTTTGATTGGATCATTTTGGGGCTCTGGGTTAGAGACCGGAATGAGAACGGGTTTTAATCCGGGGCGAGGCGGCCGTAAGGCGCCGTGCTTTTACGACACGATGTAAAAAAATCACAAGCACAGAAAGTGCAGCGTGACGACGGCCACAACGACAGGCCGAAAAAAGGGCTCATTGCTGAAGAGGAAGCGGCACGTGACTCCACGCCGTGCTCCCCAACCTACATCCTACTTCCGCTTCACGGTTTCATTTCATTTTTCAATTTCATGAGTCACTTCCTGCCAAACGCAGCATGCGACAAGTTTAGTCCGAGAGAGAAAGCGGCAAAATCAGTGTTGGCCGAGCGACTTTTACTCTGCTCGTAACTGCATTGATCTGTATTTACTCACCGTGGGAAGGAGAGCGAGAATAGCTACGATCAGGATAAAGACGCAATGCTGCCGGCGGGCTTAAAGTAATTCATAGAAGTGTCTGACAGTGAGTGATAGCCACAGCAAATAAAAACTATTGTTTATCTTCCGTTATTGTTTCATTCTAAAAAAAGGAATTTCACAGACTTAATGTCACAAAGGCACCAAGAATTCAAAAAAGAAAAAAAAAAAGGACTAGTTTCGTCCAAGAGTATATTCCAAAGTGTCCACGAACCTCTTGGGACAGCCCGGTACCACTGACCCGGCTCACAATAAGTTCCACAGGGCCTGCAGACGCCACATTAAGCGGTCAATCGATCAAAGACACAGTGTGTGTGTGTGTGTGTGTGTGTGTGTGTGTGTGCACACACACAAACCGCATGAGCAAATCATTAATACTCCACCATTGTACCAGATGACGAGCTCTAATTGAATGAGCGGGAGGGTTCGGCCTTTTTGCAAGCCACAGTTTCGTGTGGACTTTCCGTGGAAAATTTAAACGGGCCCAGAATTTTAAATAGGTTATGGGGGGGTAGAAGCAAAGCCTTAAAACACAAGAGACACAGAAGTGAGCCAAGCGGTAATTCAAAATACCCACAGACCCAAAACGAGCAGCGTGCAGCAACGTATTATTATTTGCATGCGATTTCTCTAGACGGGACCACCAAGAGATCGACGATAACCCGGCGTCGTGTTTGAATATGAACCAAGTGATCTGTTAAATACATGCTCGATTAAATACAAGTGGTAGAATCCCACTGGGCGTTTTTTTGGTCTATGGAACCAGGTCACAAAAAAACTATGAACAAACCTTTAAGAACACTGAGAGCAGCAGAACAGGGAACTTCATTTGAGAGGCAATTAAGGTCATTTATGTTGAAAGAGAAAAAAAACAGTGTTAAGGGAATGCATTGTACAATGTGAGCTGTGTTGCAAATGCAGTCTGAAACACGCATCTTGAATAATTTATTTGAGTAAAGTCTTGGATAAGGAGGAATAGTGGTTCGTAATGTAAAGCCAGGAGTCCATTGTAACCATTTGCTGTAGCTTTTAACTTGTGTTTGGAACAATTAACAATAAAAACAAACATTTCATACCGTTTCTAACTCATTAAGTGAAACAATGCAAAAGCCCCACGTGTATAATTTCTATTAGTGTAGAAAAGAAACACTGGTTGTAGCCTATTATCTTTTAATAAATGCTAAAAAAGCTCCTTTTTTTGTTTTTGTCGACTGCATGATGTCGGAGTCCCGGATGGCACGCAGTAACTAGTCGTGCAGCGTCCTTCCGAACTCTCCCGTTAACAACCGAGATTGCATTAGTGCTTAAAGTTACTTTATTCCCCGTACATGTCGGCATCACTCTAATTTATTTTAAATTAACACTTCGTTGGAAGAATAAACATTTACGATACTGCGTCTCTGCTAAAGTTGATAGCCTTTTTTAGGAGGAGGGAGGAGAGCTCCGGTGACTCACGCGTGTCGGCGGTAGAATTGGCCATTGACGGGCAGCGGCGCACCGGAGGCCCCGCGGAGGATGTAAGTCAACGGGCGGCCGTCGGGAAACGTAACGCCGCTGGTCACCGGCTAGCCGCGGTCAGGTCTAAACTGGAGGCGTGGCCTCGTCCTGACGTCAAGGCATTTCCTGATTCACGGAGGAGGGGGATACGCCCTGATCTTAAAGAGACACGACGGCGTGAAGCCCACACGCCACGTGACCCCGCCTACAAAGAGAGGTGCAGAGGCGGGAAGCGCGAGAGGATTCGCTTCTTACTACTTCCGTTTTCGTTGGTTGTTGCTAGAAAGGCGGTTTTAGTCTCAGTGCGTTTTCAGTTACTTGGGTATTTCCGTCCTATGACAACAACAAACAAGTTATGTTGTATCATTATGAATACAGATACAACTGTTTGATCACAGGGGGAAAAATACTACTATGTAATACTTGGATGCTACTATAATTTCGTTTTTTAATCTCTGCCACTTGGTTTCAGTAATTAAAGGCTTTAGGCAGGGCTGTAGTGGAGGGTAAACGCACGTAAACGCCGTTATCGCACCTCTGGGATTTTGGAAATAGCGTTTACGCACCTATAAATAGCGTTTACGCACCTCAAAGTTACCCGCGCCTTGTATTCTTCCGTTGGAATAATCCGAAATAAACTTGGTGTAATTTTAAAACAGCTAAGACTACGTTTCCTATTGTTGAACATATAAACGCCGTAGTCTGAATCATGTTCATCTGCGCTGTATTGCGGTCTGTGAGCATCCAATCAGTGCCTTGCGGATGCAGCAGCGACACCAATCAGGATCCAGGAGGCACATACACGTTGTGGATCAGCCCAGTGGGCCCCAACCTTTCTTACCTCACGGACCGGTTTCATGTCAGACAATATTTCGTGGACCGGTCGAGAAGGTCCGACGGGGGGTGTAGTCGTTGCGGGCGGAACAACAACCGACAGGGGGGGGGGGTGTAGTAGTCGCGCGCTCTGTGTTCGCTGGTCGTGCACGGTAAAAGGACAAGACGCCTGGTGACGCGTAGATTAGAAAACAAGTCAGTTCTCAATGTGAAAAAAAACATGCTGTATAGGCTATTTATGATGACATAGGTAGTATATGAGTGTTCCTTTAACTTATGTTGTCAGTGTAATTGACAGGCTGCATAACTGGTTAACTCTTAAATTCAACATATTTGTTCAGGCAGTGAGAGGACAGGCAATGATGCAGAGAGCACAGGGAGAGGAGAAACACCAGGTCCAATAGAGAGAGGAGAAGCACTATGCAAGGCAGGACCTGACGTGGAGGACAAGGAGGCCCTCTGGGCACTACTGTGAAAAGGAGACTCCATATGTAGATAGTTCTTAATCTGCAATTGTGTTGTTGTGTTGTCATACTTTTCTTCACTGTTTTCATAGATTTAATGAACTACAAACTACTAACACATGTATTCATTGTCATTGATTGTATATGACTTTTACTGATAACACAATGCAATATAGCCAGGACAGCCTTACAGAGTCGCGACGCTTTGTGTTGCGTTGCTTCACATTGCGTCGAGGTCTGTATGATCACAACATTCAGAGTTTACCCACCTTTAATTTTACCACTACAGCACTGCCTATATGTGATGTCTCAGTAGTGTTTGTGACTAGCAGGTGCACTGAATGAACTCATTAGGTGAGTGACAGATGGAGGAGACAGGGTAGAAAGTGACGGAGCTGTGGCGAGGCTTATTTATTTTATTTTCATCCTAAAACTATCTGTACTGGTAGTAATTTACCACTAAACGACGTCGGGGGATTTCACAAACACCGTCATCACCTGTGTGTCAGCACTGCACGAGCACTAGGCGGAGGAGGAGGAGGAAGGAGGAAGGAGCACGGCTTGTGGGCGCCGCGGAGCAGTTCGGTGAAATTCTCACAAGAACTCAAATAAATGCCCCGTCGAATGTCAAAACACATTTGGGGGGATTTGGTGACAGTGCGAGTAATAGTTATTCTAAAATTTTGATGAATGAAGAAACAATTGTGCTCCAGCAAAAGGGGCACTTTTCTCATCTGGGCTCAAACAGCCTCCAAAAAACGCAGTGCCAAAGACTACACCATGCCCAGCTGTTTTGGTAATGAATGAGAGTTAAATAGATATTGCTCGTTGAATTTGAGCTATTCCAAACCTTTACTTAGCAATAGTTGATTTGACCACTCTCATGTAGGATTATGTACCGAGCACCGGTGCCATATTGGTGAAATGAAATGACAAAAATGACACAAATGACTATATGAACATCTATTTATTGAACTTTAACAAAACTGAAAAGTGCAAATGTAAAACAAATCTTTTTTGTGGGATTTAGTCCAGCGCTTCTTTAATGTGTCTTGTCCATATATTGAAGCAATAATGATAACAAATAAACAAATAATAAATAGTAAATGCTTTATATAGCCACATATTAAAATAAGAAAAGCTTCCGAAGCATCACGGCCGAGGCGAAAACATGGGTATTTTCTTTTAGTTCGTCCGTAAACTTACATTTACGTTTCGGCATGGCTGCAGATGTCATGTGCTGTA